GCGTTCTAATACTCTAATAGGACTATATATACCGGGGATATATAGCTAATATACTTCTATCCCTACTAGTATTAGCGGCCCCGGCTATAATCTCTGCAAGAACTCTATAATAACTATATAACAAATTTATGCGCCTATATATCTATATAATACTTATTAAGCAGCGTACGCTCTATCCCCCGTCTTTACGTAGYTATACCTATAGAGCGATAAAGGGTTGCCCCTTTACTAAAATCCTCCTCTAACCCCCTTCCTATAGACGATATTCCTTCCTTTATACGAACGTACACGACGCTATATCTACGAGTCCGCTTTATACCGATAGGTTCTAAGAAGCAAGCAAAGAAAGTATAGAAGCGTATATACCCTGCTCGGCCCTAATTCGACTATATAAAGTGTATACTAGATAATAAGAAATGTTACTTCTACGGCGATTATAACCTAATACCGCCGGCACCTTCGAATAAACCGATTATACGGGCGACACTAATGCCGCTACGGACGAATACGCTATCCTTAAGCACTATGCTAATTATTATTAACTCTAATAAAAGCGAGATATTAGACGACGAGGTTCTTAACGGACATATTAGTAGGAGCCTCCTAGATAAAGCGCAGCTTACTAGTATAAAGGCAACTTATATACGATAGATTAAGATCGAAAAGGAAGCGGCAATAAATCTACCGAAGTATAAGTACTATATAGGTAATCCACCCCCTAGCTAACGGTCGAAGRATAGTGTTATAAAGGCTATCTCTATAATAGCAACCGTATAAGTTAGGTTTATTATTACGATTGTTATTACGAGATACTATATTACCCTAGATAATCTAGATAAGATACTAAAGTAGAGCAGGTTAAAGAAAGGTAAGGGGTTCTCTAAGTATATTATATACATTATATACTGTTATTGCATTTATTTATACCGCCGTATAATTAATCGCTAATAGGATATAGGAACGCCTAAGAACATCGCGGTACCGGATTATAATATTAAAGACATAGTAGCTACTATTCGTAGCTTCGGTAATAAACCGCATATTACTAAGGAGATAGAACATCCGGATAACACCTATATATATATTACGTAGTCGTATAATAACTAAGATAGGCCTATTTAACCTCTAGATGCAGACTTTAAAGACAGGAAGCTAAGTCGTATCTTCCTAAACGATATTAATACAAAGGGCTAGCTATCTCGAAAGYAATATAAGGTGTTCCTTATCTTTAAGAGACGTTCTACATCGCAGCCTACGAATAACCTATTATATAAGGCCGAGGTTAACGCAAATCTTACTAAGGCTGCTACTACTCTAAAGAGTAAGGGCTCTTAGAAGAAGAAGAAGAAGGTAAAGTAAGAAGTTAAGGTAGAGTTAAAGCTAGTAGTTAAAGTAGAGCCGACCTTAGAAGTATATATACTATCTTTTTATATAAACGTTAGTAAATAAAGTCTAATACTAAATTCGATAGGAGAGTAAAGAGCAGGTTAATACTACTATAGAGTATAACGCTACCGATAATAGTAACGACGAGTCGCTACCTTCGTTTAGTAAGATGTTTATACGTTTCTAGCTTATATAATCGTAAAAATAGCTACTTACTCGATTATAGATTAAGGGAGAGCTAGAAATTAAGGGAGAGCTAGGAACCGAGGAAGTAGAGTAATAATATCCTACTCTAGGAGGTTTAAGCTATAAGCGGACGATCTCGAAGGTTTCGTAATTATCTAAGAACATAAGTAAACTACCCGCAAATTATACGCGTAATCGGTCGAAGCGTCGTTAATCTAAAAGGTTGCGATAAGAATAAAAATAGTAGGTACTTCGCAAGTTTAGAGAGGAGTTGTTTTTAGTAGTTTCGTTCGTTCCTTTAATAGATATCTATATAGTACTACTTTAATAGTCGTAAACGCATTGTACGGGCGTATATCCACTTCTCGATCTATCTACTATATAAAGGGAGTGCCTAATATATAGTTATAGATATAGGCTTTAGACAACTTTACTTCTACGATTAATCTATCGATTAGGACTACATCTACATACTAGATAAAGAGGCTATATCGGAAGCGCCCGTACAATAACTGAAAATCACCGCTAACCTCTCGGAACGGTTATATTCCGAGGTAGCGTAAGTAGTGTACCTTAGTTCTACTAAAAAAAGATTGTTGCAGAGTTGTCGCTAAAAGCGCACCGTAGAGAGGCGCTGACACGCGAGTCAGGCGAGATCTGCGGGGTCGAAAATAATTATGGTCGAACGTGACAAAATGTCATTTTCCAACACATCAACAACCCGCATTCTGCCAACATGCCGCCCCGCCGCAAGTTTAACAAGGACAACTCGACGACCTTCAATGTCGTCCATCGCGCCCAGAACGATCCTCTTATCCACGACTCCGACGCCAATCAATTTGTGTTGGCGGAAAAGGCGGCCCCACGAAGAGCAAACGGCGACGAGTACGACAATGTCTACGCTTCGGGATCCCAATACTCGGGAGCCTCGTATCGTAGCTACAAGGTCAAGCAACGAGAAGACCTCGAGTCAGAGTTTGGAGGATCGGTGCGAGAGAACGAGGGTGAAGCGGCGCAACACGGCGTCTTCTACGACGACACTAGTTATGATTACATGCAGCACATGAAGGATTTGGGAACGGGAGAGGGAGCATCAACATTCGTGCCGGCCAATACTCCAAGTAACAAGGATCGCAAGGGAAAGCAGAGTCTGGTGGATGCTTTGCGGAATTCCACCTACAACGACGACATGCGCAGTGTGGGTCAGTCAAGTACCACAGAATCCATCGCCCGCTCACTGTTCCCGGAGGAAGTATTGCCCAGTGAATTTGTGACAAAACGTTCCTACCAGGACCAGCAGGATATTCCCGATGAAATCGCCGGCTTCCAACCTGACATGGATCCGCGGCTGAGGGAAGTGCTGGAAGCGTTGGAGGACGAGGAATATGTGGACGATGAAGAGGACATCTTCGCAGAACTCACAAAGGAAGGCTACGAAGTCGATCGAGATGAGTGGGACCTCTATGGCGAACAACACACGTTTGAAGACGAAGAAGAAGACGCAGGCTGGGAATCCGACGATACAATCCGAGCCGCAACTCCCACATCGTCTTCTCCACCACCCGATCTCTCGGCTTTGAACCTCACAGACGCCCCTCCCCCCTCAGATCCTCTCGCTGTCCCTCCCGCAGACCCAACCCACGGAGCATGGCTCGAAGAGTTTGAGAAATTCAAAGCCGCCGACAAGAAATCCTCCTCCCAACCCAAACTTCTTGCCAACGGTCGGCCCGCACCTTCAGCGTTGGAGTCCTCAATTCTCTCCTCCCTTGCTTCCGGAAGAAGAAAGAAGCGAAAGGGCGCTCAAACAAGCACGACAAACTACTCCATGACCTCCTCCGCCCTAGCCCGCACAGCCCCATTAACCCTCCTAGACGACCGTTTCGACAAAATAGAAAACGCCTACTCCCTCGCTGAATTCCCCGAAGAAGAAGAGGACGCTTACAACGATTCTCAATCTCTCGCTTCAGGGATGACAGGTGCTTCGCGAGTTAGTAAAGCATACTCTACTCAGAGTGGGCTATCGGGAGTTAGCGGCGTGAGCAGTTATTCCCGAGCGGAAGACGACGAAGCGCCGAATCTCGTGAGGAGTGATTTCGATGGGATCATGGATGACTTCCTGGGTAGTCATAATAAGGCTGGGAAATTCGGGAAGAGGATTCGAAAGGGCAAGACGCTGACGGGAATGCAGCAATTGGATGAGATCAGAGGGCAGCTTGGACCCGCGAGGAGAGAGGGGAGGGTCGTTCATGGTGAGGCCAGATAGATGTTGACGATATACCCCAAGCGCCAGTGGAATTGAAGGTTGCCGCCCTACCTGCTGCGATTAAAGACGTTGTCCCTTTACATGAGTGGAAGCAGGGTGGTAATACATCTATCGACAAGACAGTTGACCATGCGTAGCACTGTTTGTTCTGGTGATTAGGGCTACCTGTCCGTGAGCGTAAGTTGGTTGTCGTTTGGTTTAGGAGGAGAGCCAGCAAGCTTCGACTTCGTCTGCCCTCGCCCACCGGGCGACGTAGATGCCTCCAAAGAGATGTTGAAAGTCTGCGAATCTCAAGATCGTAAGCTACGGGCTGATTCCACGCCGGAATGCGATTTGACTCGTATGAACTTCTTGTTGCCCGCTTCGGTTTCCTATCAGTCGAGAGGCCTATCGCATCTAACCAGAAGCCAATGTCTCATGCAAAGTTCGCACGAGTCAAAACAAACGGGCGGCACTCAACGGTGGAAATATGCTATATGGCCATTCGACGCAATCGATGACTTCGTTCCACTCGAATCGCCGCGAGGATTAGAATCCTGAAAAGCAAGCTCCTTCTAAACCATGCTGCGGCGTACCCACGCCATCCATCGCGCCCGCGAACTCCTCGCTATGCCATTGTTTCCCACAAATGTCGTGATATCGTTCCATGTTTCCCACCTTTCACGGTATGCAATCACTTCTTCTTTCGGAGAGTGTTGCCTTCTCCGCTGAAGTATTGCTTCTTGTCACTCGGCCCATCGGTATCTCCATCCTTCTTCTTCTTCAGTGGCTTGACTTCATACCCGAAGAAGAGCTTACCAGGAGGCAACCYCAACGGCTGTGGACCTGCACGCTTCTTGGTGGAGCTGCCCATGCCCGGTATTGAGACAGTGCCGACAGGTGTGGATGCGCCTGAAGCTGCTGCGGCGTTCGCCTTGCCCTTCTTCGCCACGAGCCTGTTGCCGCCGCCGGAGAAGTTGCTCGACACACTCGCTGTCGACGAAGGAGCGATTGAAGAGTAGTTGATTGCCGCCGCCATTGTCGCATTTGCGTGCATTACGCCACCCTTGCTTGCCATTGCCGAGGAGATACTGCGAGGCGTGCTAGTTCCACTCGTCTTCTGTGGCTCCTGATATCCCACTGGTGGCGCGAAGTCTACCTCCAAATCCGTCTCCAGCACACTGATCGACTTCTTCCCCGCGTCGGGCTTGACCTCCAGCACGGCGATCTCGTACACGGTATCGTTGTAGGAGAATGTGAAGACATCTCCGACTGAAAGACACGAGAAGTTGCGGAACGCAGTCTCCAGGACAGCCTTCGGGTCGCTGATTTCGAGGAAGTTTTCGTTCTGAGGTTGGAGCTTGATGAAAGAGCCGAGTGGGAGATCGGTGGATTTGGCTTGCAGGAGGTCGCCAGGTTCGAGGTGGAGTCTTTGCATCAACCAGAATGGGAGATATGCGCGGCCTTCCTCTGCTGTGAATTCGAGTACACCAGCGTGGGTGCTGATTTGTTGTGAGCCGTTGATCAGCTCGAAGAGCATGGGGTAGGTGATGTGCAGCTGCGTGAGCTTTTGGAGGGCCGAGGCCGGCAGGAACATTTTACCGCCATGATTGAGGGAGTCACGGTTAGGACCGGCCATCATCACAATGGGGTAAACTCGATAGTACCTGGGAAGGGTGAGATGGGTTAGCGATATGGTTGAATAGCCAGAGGCAGTGTATGCCTCACTCGTCAAAGCGGCGCGCTCGTCCGCCAGTAGCCCCTCGATTCATCATGCCCGCCTGATACATGGCCATCGGATCGCCCTCGCCGTAGTAGTAGGACATGATTGCGGTGGTGAAGGGGAGACGAGGTGGCGATGTTGAAGAGTGTTGTAGTGCGCGTGGAACAAAAGTAAAGGTTGACGTGCCTGGAAGCTCAAAGCTGTGACGACATCGTCTCCATTCACCTGACAAAACTTCAACAGCACACCTCGTCCATCACGCTCTCTCAGCATACCGTCCTGATCATTCACCGCAGCCTTTCACGGATCACTCGTCCTGCCTGTAGCAATGAAGGACTCTGCAGCAGAGCGCCATGGTGTAACATGGCATGGCGGCATAAAATCCGAACACATCGCTTACTTACGTCCTCCAGCAACTACCCAGGTACCTACCACCTTACCAGACTCCTAAAATTGTTCTTACACTCGTTCCAGGTCGTGTAAGCTCTCGGACCGCTTTGAGCATGCGATTTAAGCGACCCAACGGCAACGAACCCAGCGACAACCACTCTACGCGTCCGGTAGCGATGCTGATGCCGTACGACACCACTCTGCAGGCCTCAATACTCTTCCTCCCCACTTCAAGACTTCTCCAATATTGTTCGCCATCCCTACCTCTAACGTGGCTTGAGCATGGTTCGAGCAATCGGGCAGTATCATGAATCACTTCAGCCAAACGGGACGCGGTTCCCCATTCACTACCCGAAGATGCCTGTTGTGTACCCTGCATGCTCACCACGCCAAGTGGACCTGCCCTACAGAGCATGCTGGATGCAACATCACAAAGGCCAGCATAGCCCCTGGTCACCAACCGTGAGTATCGGTCCCAGCCCATGCCGCATTAAATTGCACCAACAACGCATAGCTGGGACCTCTCAACATCTCAGGTTGGGCCTTGCGAACGCAGGAACGCAGTTGTCACGTCGCATATCGAATGGAACATTTCATGTGGCAAGAGAGGCCGTTGAGATCACGATTGAGTCGTGACAGTAAATCTCCGGCTCTACTCCACTGGCTCGCGGCTGGATTTGAAGTCGACATGATTACCTTTGCCTGCCAATTCTCACTGCTGCAGTCGCTATGGCTTGCTGGTACACTCGCCTATCGCGTCCCATTAGGGAAACTTCTCTGGAGAGTCCATGACAGTTGTCCATGCGCCTCGTGCAGCTCACATGTTGTGTGTGGAACCACGCGAGCCGCGTGACATTAGTATCTGCGTAAAGATCCTTGTCAACGCACAAGGCGATTGTCAATTCACACCCACTTCGTGAAGCCTAGCTGGACCGCATGGCTCGTCAACTCGAGACGTTCTATCATTAGAGTCTCGCCCTGCAGTCCTGCCTATCCGTCGGTGGAACATCAGCCGGTAGGTGACCTGTGTCGAGGCATAAACGACAGTTCTATATAAATCTCCTTGAGCTCTCATGTGTCCTTTCTTTGGTCCTACAAAACACACATCACTTCTTCACATATCCCTCCCGTATTGACCTTCGATCAAGTCACACAACAGCTTCCAGCTCTTGTGAATTGTACAACATTCGATCAGCCCTACCCCGATCAGCAAGATGCGCTTCGTTCTACTCGCCCTTGCCACCTTGGCTGTTGGAGCATTAGCCTTACCTCCAGCGCCATCCACCTGCGCTTGTCTCGACGACAAGTCGGCCAAACGCGTGGCCAATAACTTTAAGACCCTCATCACCAACTACTCCAACGCTTCCGCAGCGGCGTACCTCACCCCAGACGTTCGGGACTACTCCGATTCCGTCAACGAGCTCATCAACAACGGCTGCTCCAACGGCCCTGCACCACTAGGAACCGCGACTTTCGACTCTCTGGTTGATTTTCAAGCTGGACAGGGCAGTCAACCAAACATCCCATTTGAGATATTGAACATTTGGTATGGTTGCAGTGCTGTGACTCTAAGATGGCGGTCTACGTACCCGGGAGGTCCGGCAAACCCGCAGCAGTTTGTTACGGGAATCATTGTTTTGGAGACGGTCTGCGCCACTGGAACGGAGAAGTACAAGATTAAGACGGTGTACTCGGAATTCAACAGTGGGGCTTGGTTGTATGATCTGGGGGTCTTTGTGCCCGAATGCTCTTAGACGATGGAAGGGGGTCGGGTATCGGGGYGTGGCGAGAGAGCATGGCTTGTCGAGAGGCTGACGAACATAAGGCTTTCAGCTTTGATGGGATGGAGGGAGGAATGAAGATGCGCGGACAAATTGGTTGATGGACTAATTTCTTCGTTACAGCTACATCGTCGAGAAAATTGTATGCAGGTCCATCTCCAATCCAATCCAACTCCGTTCGATTTTCTTGCTTGCGGCACAATTGGMCCAGACATCCACAGTACATGTAGTTCAACATCAAATTCCATGTACTTAATATCATGAATCATATGTTGATGTTGCGTCATCCTCAAAGCTCCAGCTCCACCACATGCAGGCAGGGCAGCTTACTTTCCCGACTTCTCGGCTCTCCAAGCATCGTACATCTCCACATCACAATCATGCTTCGCCGACCACTATGGACAGCTCGAACAGTGTTACGCTCACCATTGAAACCCAGTACAAAAAGATATTTCGCAGACAAATCTACACCACCCTCCGCGACTCCCACCTCCCGCCTCAATCGCATTGAATCCCGTCTCCCAAACTTTCTACGTCGCTACACAGTCCCCCTCAGGAACGCTCCAGTCTCCCACATCACAGCTTTCATAATCTTGCATGAAATTACTGCTGTTGTCCCTTTATTCGGGCTGACGGCAGCATTTCACTATACAAACTGGCTACCACCTTATATCAGCGAGGGAAAATGGATCAGCGATTATACGGAAAAGTTCGGGAGGTATTTGAGGAGGAAAAAGTGGATTAGTGACGAAAGTGGGAGTGGAAGATGGTGGGGGAGAGGAGAGAAAGGAACGAGACTTGTGGTGGAGATGGCTACTGCGTATGCGATTACAAAGGTGTTGTTGCCGGCTAGGTTGTTGTTGAGTGTTTGGGGGACGCCATGGTTTGCAAGATTGACGGTTCTCCCTGTTACGAAGAAGCTGGGGACGCTGTTTATGAGGAAGAAGCCAGTAGCTGTGGGGAGCGGAAATGCTGCTGGGACGGGAGCTGTCGGTGGGGGAGTTGTGCCAAGGGATGGGAAGTGAAGGATAGTAGAGCAGGAGATTATGGGATTTAACGTCACTCGAATCTGTAAGAGCCGAATCGACATGGGACGACCGGCAATTCACCACTCCGACACTGAGTGAAACTTGGGCATGCATACATCACGCGACTCCGGATCTAGTGGATACGGCTGGATGCGCAAGCAACGATTCGCAGTTCTCCGCTTCGATACAAAGCGAGATACGCACTGCTCGATTACAGGATCTTGTTACAACAAGCTGAATCGAGAAGCCATGGTTGACATGGTTCCGCTCCGTCCTGCAGCAAAAGGAATGGAAAATTATGTGCCAACCACGCCTACCGCCAGACGTCGGATGCAAGGCTGGCTTCTGGCACTTGACTTCCTCCAGGTCAGGTATCTCGAGCATCAAACTTCATGTCTGAGAGGGACTGAGAGTGAACCGAGAATTCCCTCACTTTGGCTAGATGAGGGTATCATGGCCTTCCACTGTGTTCAAGAGAGGCACCCGCTTCGTTGCTCCAATAAAGAGTCACTGCAGGAATTATGGAGCAACACAGCTTGTGTTTATAGATCTCCCAACAATGGCTGGTAGCCATACAGTAGCAAAAGTATAGGAATCCAATTACCTCACAATGCCCAGGAGTATGAGTAGAGCAAGATGCACATCTACGTGATTGTACATAACTATCCATGTCTTGGCGCTCTGCGGAGTGGACCCTTGGAACCTCCTTGCGATTCCGAGAAGTTGAATCGCGTGTCCCTCTACCTTAGACTTCAAGCTTCAATGCGGTGACAACGTGATAATTCCAACCCATTAACCAACACATCGACTCATTCCGGAGCGCTCGCGATCATGCTCGCCCTCACACCGGTCGTCGCCCTTCTGGGCTTCCTCTCCTCCGCATCCGCAACCGCCCTCACGTACAAAATGTCACCAAACGAGAAGGAGTGCTTCTACAGCCACGTAGAACAGGAGGGCGCCAAAATCGCATTCTACTTTGCGGTACAGAGCGGTGGTGAATTTGACAGTGCGTCATTGGAGAGATAAAAAGAATATTGGTGTAGTTGCTGATGAAAGCCATTCTGTAGTCGATTACACAGTCTACGGCCCGGACAAGCAACCAGGCAAGGAGCGTGTATTTCTCAGCGGCGAGAAGGAGCAACAAGGAGACTATGTCTTCACTGCCACTTCAAAGGGAGAGTACCGTTTCTGCTTCGACAACAGCATTTCCACATTTTCGGACAAGGTCGTGGACTTTGAGATTTCAGTATGAAACCCCCGACATACCCGCATCAGGACAGCCATTGATACTTTACTCAGGTCGAGAACGAGTCCCCACGAGCATCTCTTCCACAAAAAGCAGGAGCTAGCAGCGAGCAATTGGGCGGCGTAGAGGAATCTATCATGCGCCTCTCAGGACAAGTCTCTACCTTGACAAGACAGCAAAAGTACTTCCGCACCCGTGAGAACAGGAATTTCAGCACTGTTCACAGCACAGAAGCTCGGATATTCAACCTCAATTTGATGGAGACTGGGCTTATGATTGCCATGGCTGCTCTGCAAGTCTTTGTCGTGAAGATGTTCTTCACGGGTGGACGTAAAGGTAGGGTTTGCTGGAAGCAAATGTGTCTGTATTGTGCTGACATGAGGCTGTTTAGGTTACGTTTGAAGGACTGCGCTGGAAGCTGTACCCATAGCGATCATCAAAAATTAGAATGCCACGGCCTGCTCTATGCCCAGGAGTCTATTCTTCCACCGTCGTGAAGTGATTGTCTCAATTCTCTGATGGCACGTTGTTTTCTCTTTACACCTTGAATCTCTGCCAGTTGATCGCCAATGCCTCGAATGCAGATTTGCGCATCAAATTTAACACATCCAAGCACATCGGATTGATCATCATGGTGTCGACCATAGGTGAGCTCACGAGGTCCAAGCAAAAGCTTCTCCAAGACCTATGACTGTGATGCATAGCCTTGGAGTTAGGTCTCACAGTTTGAAAACAGGTAAACACAACAAGACGAGAGTCCAAACAGAACTTCGCTTCTTACGTGCTGGAACGGTCGACAACCTTGTTTACTCAGCATTAAATAGACATGAGGTAAGGTTATCAACTTCAGGAACTGCCTCACCGTCCCCCCACGCATCATAGCTCTTCCATATGCTCGGGCTTGATTCCTTCCCATCTCAAATCTCGGAGCCGCTCACCTCTTAGGCAAATCCTGCGTCTCCCAAGCCATATACATCGAAACTCTAGCATGCATCGCACACAATCTATTGGAGTCACAACATCGGCAGCTAATGGATGTATGCCTCTACGGTGTTGATTCCCTCTTCAGGTATACTTCCAGACGTTGTAGTAGGTCTTCTGTGGTCGGAGTATCACGGAGTATCATCCACATTCGCTCACTTCCGAAATTCTTGGCGACCCCAAAGCGGGCAGTGATGAGATTTGCATACCTTAGGATGTTTGGCGGCATATCAGGGCGATACAGCTGGCTCGCAATCCGATAGGCCCGGCCTTCTTACCCAAAAGAAGACAGCACGCCTCGAAATTATTGAGCTCAATAGAGCATGTGTGACGGCTTCCTCTCCACGGATCCGCTCGACAATCATGGACTGGATCTGCAAAATGCTTCCTTCCTTCGGTCCTCGTTCTACTTTCGTCGTCTAGTAAAAGTTCACGTCATGAGTTTTTGCTTCAACCGCCTCAGGCATGCTCCATTGCTCGCTCGCTCGCCCAAGCCAACACAAGTCATGCCCAAAATAAACCATGTGAATTGCATGCGGGCCAAGTCATGAACCGCTACCAAATGCCAGCTGCCTGCCTGAAAATCTCCTACATGCCTGTTCCTCCATGCGGTCGTGCTATCATACTGCATTGTGAGTATTTGTACAGTCGTAATGCCAAGGTCAAATGCGTTGGCATCTGCCACACACGCATTGCTTATCGGATGTTCAAGCTCTGATACTTGATCCAGTCATTTCGCGCCTTGTTAGGGTGTTCTAGTCCCAGATGGTCGTCAGGCCCAAGTTTGTCGGACAAAATATCGTCTGCACATGTGTTAGTTGCGGTAACTTTAACGTTCGTTGCTGGGATGCTTTTACCATCTTCAACCCACACAGGCTTGCTGTAGTTCTGACCGTTCTTGATCACAGCAAACCTGATCTTTTCGAAGCTCTTGCCCTTGATCCCAGTTCGCTTCGAAAGCCGCTCCTTTGTATCCTTGAAGATCTCACCAGCCTTCAACAAGAAGATGAATGGCGTAGCGTGTGGCTTTGACGGCTCTTTCTCAAAGTGGAAGCAATACAGCAGCCGATCTCCGTTCTCCTTGTTGATTGYGAGCTCCTCTTCGGGTGTTCGTTCCGCGTATACAGCCATGAACTCGTTGAGTGCATTCACGCCATGTGTCAGGGGAAGGATCTTGTACACCTTGGAGCTATGAACTTCGTAGAACCGGATTTGGTCGAGAATCTCATCGGGCAATTCGAGCTTCTTGTGTAGCGCATCAAGAACGTATGAGAATTGCGATTGCTTGGGAACCAGGACCTCCGTAGGCTCTTCCTTGGTGATGCCTTCGGTAAGCCATACAATCTTGATGCTCTTGAGTTGTTCTAGATCAGAGAGGCTGATATCCAAGACTTCATAGAAGAGGTGGTCGGTCGCATGGGCCGGCGCATAGCTATACCCGCCATAGCCGCTGGAGCCGAAAAGTATCGTGTTCACCGTTGTTCCTTGTGTCTTCTTGATGGGATTTTTCGGCTTGCCACTTTGCGCGTGGGTGGTAGAGAATCGAACGTGTGACGGATCCACAGGATTTGCGTTGAWCGATGATAGGTAGTCGGCCACTTTGTGTGCAAGTACATCATATGTGTCCTTCTTCGACAAAGCTAGGCTGAATTGCTCAACGCCTTCCTTCACGAATTGGAGATTCGGTGCCGGTATGTTCTTGGGTGTGAAGTTCACAAACAAGCGGTTCATGAGGAAGTCGTAGAACAGAGGTGTAGATTGGCAAGCCGTGGGATTCTTTTGCTTGAGTGTAGCGGCGTCCGCGTCGTCGAGGTGGCGCTGGAAAACCAGAATGTCGCCGTCTTGAATCTCGGAGTTGATCAGCGTGTTTTTTGGTTTCATGGGCTCGATGTRATTTTGCTTGATCTCCTCAAAGAGCTCAAGGTCCACACTGCCCGATTCCCATCCCATCATGTCAAGAATGCGAGGAGCAACATCGCACGCCCGGTCCAGTGGACTCATGTAGACATGGCCTATGCCTTGCAGCTGCTGTCGATCGACATCGAAGTGTTTCAAGAACAGAATGATTGGGTGGTGTGGTTGCGACGCTTGAACGCTTCCTGGGGATGCTGGTAGGTCGTCCGGAGGCCAGATCGGCTGACCCTGATCGTCGCGTGTGGTCTCTTCCATGAAAACTCGGAAAGGCGATGTCCGTGTGCTAAACTTGTCGGCAGCCTCTTGCAGCGTCATTTCCTGCCAACTCAGTGGCTGATCAGGACGAACGGTACCGTTCTGGCGGTTGACCATTATCCATGGCCGTAGCAGATCTGCTTCTTTTCCAAGATGTTGCGCAATACTATGGGTAAACTCCGCAACTGTCATGCTTCTCAACATCCTGTGGGTTGTGGGAGTGGCAGGGTCTTCTGCATCATCACTTGACCATGGAACCAGATCCACACCCTGATACGACTTGAAATTCTCTTCCGTAGCGACCAGAACGGACATGTAGAGATGAGCCTCCTCCTTCTCCTTGCGTCTGCGTTCAGCAAGTGCGCGTTCTTCCATGATCTTCGTGGGGAGATGGGCTGGCGGCTTGACATCCTCCTCCGACAGCAGGATTTCATCGAGCCGACTTTCCCGAATGTACACCAACATGTACGCATTGTTACTGCGTTTCGTCGACCACTGACGTGTGTAGGGATTGTGACCACCCTTGGCCCCAGTGGTTGCGGAGTAGTCACCTCCAAAGTTGTCATCAATCGCCTCGCGTTTGGTCGCGCGCGTAACACGATCATCGTCAAACCGGAAGAAATCACCACCCTTGTTTGGCTTCAGGAAAGCGTAGTAATGGCCGGCATTGAGATCTCCGGAGTGGACCAGCACRCCGTGCAGATGGTAAATATATGGCTCCGACTTGTCCGCGGTATCGTCCAGGTACGGAGAGGCATCCCAGATCTCGGGAAATTCGTAACGATCATTTACCTTCATCATGGCATCTCTCTGGAAGTCGTATTCGAAGCGTTTGAGCTGCAAGTGCAGCACGTTTGGAAAGCTCTCGAAGATGACGCCTTTCTTGGCATCCTGCAATCCATAACCCTCGGCAGCATACTTATTGTCCCCTTCGAGCGTCTCGACTTCGACGTAGTTCTTGAAACTCTCGTCCATGCTCCTGCAGCCAGAGACGTTCAGCTGCAGGTCCCAGAAGTCCTCGATACGACTGCTTTCATACTCCACGTTGATGCATCTGAGGTACGTCTTCATTTTGCCAACGAACATGTTGGGAAGCGCATTCTCAGCTTCGGTTCCTTTCATACGAGCCTCGAGCTTCTCCATGAGGAYTCGGGACAGCTCCTGCACGTCTTGTTGCTCGAAGATCTGGCGGCTCTCCCAWCCAAAGGACACTGTAAGCTCTTGAGTTCCCACTGCGACCTGGTCTGCCTGCAAGCGGTAGAACAGCCGTTGCAGAGCATACGCAGACGATGAAGCCTCCCTATCCTGCGGAGTCTCCGTTGGAATTTGGTAGACTGCCTTGCGGAACGCGCCAGTCAGGTACAACGATTGCAGCAGAGAGTTTAGATAGCATGTGGCGCCCTGGTTGCGTAGACCGACCATGCCGGTCTCAGTTTTGCTGTCGTAGTTGATGAAGTTGTGCCATAGCACGCCTGTGGGATCCTTGAGAACTCGTACATATGCCGTGACCCGGGCGCAGTCGTTTTCCACCAATGGCCTGTCGAAGTTGTCGAACTTTGATGCAAAAATGCGGTTCTTCTCCGCAAACCTTGTGAATCCCCAATCTCCTTCTTCAGCCGTAAACCGGTGGTTAGCCTCGTGATGGATATAGATGGACGGATCGTTTGGATTCGACAGGACCAGCATGAACTGCGCGCAGGCATACCACTTGTCCGGTGGCTTGTCGTCGCCGAAGCCCTGTTCTAGGTAGAATGACACGCTCTCTTGCGCCGCATTGYCCGCTGGGAAGAATAGCACGCGCCATGGATGACCGCCACAATGGAAAACAGGCCCATGTGATCGCTTCGGCAGGCTCCTCCAGTCTGTGATATCCCATGAATGTACCTGTTCGTCTGCCGTCTCGTAGTCCGGGACGATGGGCAGGAATCGGTCGCGCATTGCCTCCCAGTTGTCCGCGCGTGGCGGTGCCGCCTCGGATGCGGTATCTGTATCGTCCACCATGCTGTCTGCGTCGTCGGGCGAGATTATGGCAACGTTGTCATTATCATCTTCGGTGGGCGTCAAATGTTTTTCGTCGTAGTCGGAATCCAGCAGCATGTCGCTCCCGAGCTGGGTGCTGTCAGTGTCTTGTTGAAGCTTGCACAAATGTGTCTCAGACGAGACAACGGGTGTTCGAACACGAGGGTGGAAGCTTACATTGTCCATGTTTGCGGAAGTTTGTGCCTTGCTAGGCAGCGGCGGGGAGTGGTAGGTGAGAATCAGGCGGCGGGTGCGCGGTGGTGGGGGTCTGCGCGTGGAGCGAATTAAAGGTGACGCTGGTCAGCGGATCGATTCTGCGCTGGCGCGATGATGATGGCAGGTGGCAGTGGGGGGAATGGGAATGTCGTTCGCGATGAAGTTGGAGATCCTGAGACGGAGCACAAAACGTCATAAGCTGAATGCGATGAATGAATTGATGAAAGAAGAGCTCCGTCTCTTCCGCTCACACGTGAGATGCAGTTCGAGGTGGGTCTAGATTCGTGAGAGCCTAAGTTAAGGTAAAATCGACGTTGGAGGACAATCCTGCATTTGCAGTTGCAGCATCTGAGATCTTGCGTCCGCTTCGCCAGGACTGGCCTACCAATCCGTGGTGGAAACCAGGCCAGGAAATATGTCTCTGAACCTTCTTTCAGCGTGCCCCACTTAATTCTTCGTGGAAATAGTACTGGCATGCGCTTGCACGGTGAGGCGACGGGCATCTTCCAATCTCCTGCACCACCGACCTCGTCGCCACGGAGCGATGCTCCTCATAGCGCCCGCGAGGCTGAGGGCACTGCTGCGACTGCGACTCCCGTCGGAACTCCCGACTCGAGCATATGCGGTGGCCACAGCTTCCACCAAGTCGCCTTCATCTACTGTTCCCCCTCCCTGGCGCCCTTCCAACGTTCTGGATGATTGGGTCTCCCGCGAGGCGAGACCCATCAGCCTTCGCCAACTCACCTTCTTCGGACGTACGCTCACGGAAGATCGTCTGTTGAGCTCTGCCAACTATGTTCGCCTCGAGCTCCCAACGAGGATTGCACATCGACTGCGGAACATGCAAACACTCCCTTACTCGGCCGTGACAAACGAGCACATCAGCCATGTCTACGAAATGTACTACGCCGCCTTTGAGCGTCTTCGCAAAGTCACGGAAATCCGAACCTTGGAGGACAATGATCGATTCTGCAACACCATCAAGGCGACGCTCGACGAGCACCTTTCCGTCATCCCGCGCCTTGCCATGGGCATTCTTGAGATCAATGACAGCGTCAGCAGTGAGGAGTGTGATCGTTTCATTACAACGCTTTTGCGCTCTCGGATTAGTCGTAGAGTGATTGCCGAGCAGCATCTTGCACTTACTGAAACATTCCACGCGCCATGGCATTTCCCCAATGCAAAGAAGTCCGGCGCTGCTCCCGAAGACGACTTTATTGGAGAAATCTTTCTAAAGTGCAATGCAAAGGAGATTATCGAGAATTGCGCAGCAACCGCGAGACAACTTACCGCTCAGGCATATGGACCAAAGGTGGCGATTCCGGAAATCGTCCTGCAGGGCCATTTGGAAACCACATTTCCGTACATTCCATCTCATCTCGAGTACATCATCGGCGAGGCATGTTTACTGTAATCTAACAAAGCACTACACTACGCGTACTGACCTTTATAAGCTACTCAGGAACAGTATTCAAGCCATGGTCGAGCGGCGAAGACGTGACGACCCCCCACCAATCGAAGTACTGATCTGTGAAGCTGCGCAGCATGTCATCATTCGCGTATCAGATCAAGGAGGTGGTGTTGATCGAGAGATCTTGCCATATCTGTGGTCCTTTGCCAAAGGACCGCGACGAACGAACAGGCTGGAGAATCTAGGTCAAGTGCCGAGACTTGCAGCTACTATKCAGGAGCTGCAGCCCTCGACTCTGGACAAAAACATTGGCAACACCGGCGAGAAATTCGGCAGTTCCTTGTCCTCATTGTCAGTGCGACCTCCGGATCTCAAGCTTGGAATGGGGCTACCGATGAGCAAGATCTATGCCGAATATTGGGCTGGAAGTCTTGAAGTCCACAGCTTAGAAGGTTATGGATGTGATGCGTTTTTGCAGATCAGCAGGCTGGGAAACAAGAACGAGGTGCTCAGCACTCGAGCAACGATGGACCGGCTGTGAGGGAACCACTACACGGTAGACCCTACCTATGTAATCTGGTAGACCCATAGATCCCGTTTGGCAACGGGATGGTTGCTGGTAAGTTCGCCAATCTTTCAGGTGTGTGCTCGTGACTACGAAAAGCTGATGTTAGGGCAAAGCACCTACCACCTTCCAGTATGTTTTGGAGTCCGCGGTTTCATTTCTACTTCCAATGGGCCCATACTACCAAATGTTCGTCGCAACCATCAAAATAACCGTCGAAGAAGCCGCGAGCATGTGCTCCTTATATGCGTCTTGCGTAAATGGGATCGGCATTGCTGTCGCTTTACTGTTCGCTGCCGATCACGCCGATTGCTGTTGGCTTTGCTTTTCCGCCCGGATGTTCCATCAGATTTGGCGATTGGGGCAGGATAACATGCGATCTTGACGAGAGTAGTATGCGCACCAGATTCAGGAACTGAGCAGTAGAATTCGGCAAACCATACCTAACGAAATTTTGTTGAAACAGCAGCAGATCAGGCACGACGAAGTGAAGCATTTCAGTCGGCAGACCACAGACKAAGTAATGGTCCATTCATAGCTCGGGCTGAAGAAAACTCGAAACTTCCACGATCCTTATAACGTGAAGTGTACCTGCCGGCCTCTATATCAAGGAGAGCTCTTTCTCGGGCGATCTGGGTCTACTTGCTTCCTCATCTTTACTCCAACTCACAGAAAAGACATCAACACGGGAATATTCATCCGATGCAAAACATGGCGTCACAGGCAGAGGACTTTAATGTCCTGTCCGACTACATCCTTTCCAAGATCGATATCCACGTATCCGGAGCCTGTGGTCCTGGCCGCACGCAGCCGATCGAGTGCTACTATCCGGTCCATCGAGCATACAGTGAGAACATCTCCAAAAAGCATGCGTCCATCGATGATCGTTTGAAGGACTTCATACCAGGGGGTGTGCCACGCCCGGTGGAGAGCTTGGCTGCTCGAGAAGGTTATGGTCTAGTGTACGACCGCGATATCGTCACAACTTGGCGCCTGCCAGCCATATTGTCTGCGTATGAGATCTTCTTCTGGGAGAAAGAGTTTGAAAGAGCGCTTGGCCGCAACACCATGCTCGTCGTTTTGGAAGCGTTCTACGAGGCCAACCCGGCACTCAGTAAGCCAAAAAGTCTTCTGTATCGGAATTCAGCTGACGTGTCCCTGCAGCGGGTAACTGTAACGCCTTTGAACTTATGCAAAGATTCCGGGGCTTTGTGGAGGGGCTTGGTACGCGCATGCTATCCGTAACCGTCTCAAGCATTGTCATCGATATGATTGCGAGCTTCCAGCGCATGAAGGATGGACTCGACACTGAACCATTTGCTTGGGAAAAGCGGAACATTGTTCGCACCCTCCACGAGTTTGTTCTCACACGTGAGTGCTGGCAGTATGCGCGAAATCAAGAGCCGGCCCTGGAGGTTACTTTTGGAGTGACTGGTGGACGTCGTAAAAGCAACCGCCGCCAAGTATCTGAGGAGATCATACTGCAGTTCGACTACAGCTGGAATCCTCCAACGATTGGATTTGAAAACCTCCAGAACGTCGTCTACGAAAGTACATACTTCGTACTCAAGCCGTCAATAAGCATGTCACGTCCATTCTCGGAGCTGCAGCACCTCACAATCGAGCACTACATCGGGCCTACAAGAAGTTGGCTGCAATAGGACGGCGCCAACGCTTCCTTCCAAGGACTGATACCCTGCTCAGTCGCACCAGTGTTGGGCGTCCAGCGTCTGGATACTTACACGTTGTTACTGGAGTTGACAACGAAGGTCACCAAGCACTTTCCAGGCGGCATCAAACACGAGACCATCATCAGATGCGCCTTGCCTCTTACTGTCAAGCGCCACCCAGACACTTGTGAGAACCGTTCCACCGCCATGAGTCCGCTGCCTTCGCCGTTGAAGTCTATGCTTCCACCTGCCCCACGGCCCGACGCGTGCAATGTCGAGGTCCGCATGGTACGAGACATCACGCTGCATTCCGATCTTGAAGAGGTCTCCTCCACATCCGAACGCAGAGATTCGGGACTTGCTTCCCCGCCGGAGTGTCCTCAGACGCCGTGTCGTCGTCGGGACTTGGGAGCCACGAAGGTCAACCGCCGTGGGAATCTGGATTCAGACAGTGACGCCAGCTCACCCGATCCAACGCCGCGGGCTGTAAGCGTGATACTGTCCCCAGAGAAGCGCCTTCTTGCGCCAAGTCCCACGAAACGACCCGCTGCCCTGAGAGATGTGGAGTCTTCTTGCAACCGAACACGAACCGCCGCACGTCCAGTTCGCGCTCCGCAAAGTCCGTCAGTTCAGCGAGAATACAAAAGCCCTAAAGTGCAAGTGTCGCCGTACATCTGGACAATGACTGAAGCATCCTCCTCTAGCGGTGCGCCCGTTTCCCAGGGGACCAGTCAAATCCGAGAGCCTTTGGGCGAACTACCCGTCTCCTTTGATGAAATTGACAGGCGTGGGCGCGAGAGTGCCATCGCGGAGACTCGACAAAATTTCCGCAACCCCACAATTGACTCGCGTGACGCAAGTCCCTCAATGTACACGCCCACGAGCACTGCCAGAGTCGTACCGCCGCACGTGTGCTCACAACCTGCAGAACTGTCCGAAGAAGACGTGAAAGCTTGGCAGAGGGGGATTCAACGAAATTACCAACAGTCGCTGGAGGACAAAGAAAATAACGTCGTGTTGCAGGCGGAAACTTGGAGTGATGATGATGAAGAATGAGTGCAGGTGATTTTCGAGTGGTTTGACGTACTTGTCGTTACAGGGTTGGAAATCGGGGTAGACGCGGGAGAGAATGTGATGCCACACGAGTGTGCTGGTCTTTGGCGTGAGAAGGTGTTGTGCTTTCCATCGCTACGGCGAGAGTGAGGCAACTTCATCTCTGGCACGTGCTTTTCAGAGCAATATKAGTCTGTCACGCGATGTAGGTTTCAATCAGTCTCCTTCTTATTTGGCTGCGCGGCTTCACCTTTACGTTGCTTTCACCATCCCCACCACATTTACAATTCTTGACAACACAAACATCATCACTGATTCACAAGGTGACATTCCAATTACCCAATCTGGTTCTGTGGCCGAGACGACTCAAACCGGGACAGCAGCACCCTGCCTAATCCGCCTGCAAGCTGCCCGGACACAATGAGCTCTGCTACCATCATACAAATCATCTTGGCAATCTTATGTGGGTAGAACTTAGCCATTGTTCCTGTACACCTACTGACGCTTCGAAGTGCCCCCCGTGGCCGTGTTCACCACCGACGGCTGTGGAGCCCAGCTCATCATCAACGTGGTACTCTTCGCCTGTTTCATCTTCCCGGCTGTGATCCATGCACTCTATCTGGTCTGGGTCGACAAAAAGCACAAAGAGCGAGTGTACGTGGTAGAGTACGATGTGAGGTCGGACGGAAGTGGGGATCGTCGGGGTAGTCAGGACAGTCGGTTCAGTCGAGGCAGTCGTGGAAGTCGGCGTGGTCGTGATAGAAGGGAGGTTCATTTTGAATGARTGAGGTCCGACTGAGCGAGTTGCTCTATGACGGGGTTGGGTCTTATCGGACGGGTGAGAGCTGGCTTTTGACTGTCATGGGGTTTTGTGACTTGCCTTGCATCGGCGGAGAGTACCTTGGGGAGGTGAATGATTGTTACGAGTTGGAAGTTCTTTTGCTTCGAGCTGATAACGATTTATGACGACGAAGGAATGCATTACAGGGAGTTCGGTGAGCATCTCTCAATATCTCTTTTGTTACACTCCCTGTCATCTAGGCGTGCTAGAGTTCTATGCTGGGTGTTCAAGTCTGTACTGCCGTCGAGCTTCCCTGATTCGGAAACGGACTTTACCAACGAAGAAGGCTCCAGCGTGCCTCCCCCGGGACCACATTCCCAAGAACAAACTTCAATCTTCCATCCCTGCTGAAAGTTCTGCATCGGAGCAAACGCATCGATTGCCCGGTCGTAGTTTGGAGTGAGGCGTCTTCTGCTAGCAGAAAATAGACTTCAGAGGCTTTGTTCTTGCCCTCCATTCTACAAACAACACCTTACTTCGATGGTGCTTCAAAGCGGACGGTTTGCTGAGGCAGGTATATTTCCGACTCTGACTCATCAACCTTCCTATTTCGTCGTTCCTCACTTACCAACGAATCTGTGCAGTCAACCTCGTTTCAACCCCGAACTTCCCGGAACCTCATTCGAAGAATTCAGTCCGACGTCGAAAATTTCCAACGAAACCACAAAGAAAAATGCCTGCCCGCTCTTCGGATCGTTATGGTCTGGGAGAGCCTGCCATGCTAGAGAAGATTGACAAGCTTTTCGCGTGCAATGTTGGAGAGCTCGTTAATCTGCCGCAGATAGTCGTCGTTGGTGACCAATCCTCTGGAAAAAGCAGCGTTCTAGAAGGCCTCATCAAGAAGCCTCTTCCTCGAGACAGTGGCCTCTGTACCCGCTTCGCGACTCAATTTGTCTTCAGAAGAGAGCTGAAGGTCAGCATCTCCGTTTCCATCATTCCCGATGCGGATGCTACCGAAGACCACAGGGCCAAAGCGAAGGCCTGGGAGAAAATTCACCTGCAGTCTCTGGACTCCGATGAGTTCGTCAAAATTATGCAAGAAGTAAGTATGGTTTGCGGTGCAGCCGTCTTTTGGACGAGACTAATAATCGAGAAGGTACACGAAGTCATGGGCTTATCGCGAGAAGGAGACTCAGGCGCGAAAAAGCCAACATTTTCCAATGATGTCCTTCGTCTCGAGATCGCAGGTCCTGACCGGGAACATCTCAGCGTTGTAGATGTTCCTGGTATCTTCAAGAGCACGACCGACGGCGTGACAACGAAGAAAGACATTGAGCTCGTCAGACAAATGGTCCTGGGATACATGAAGAACGATCGCTCTATCATGCTTGCAGTTATTCCCGCGAATGTTGATGTTGCTACTCAGGAGATTCTGGAAATGGCCAAGGAGGTAGATCCTGAGGGTGACAGGACTCTCGGAGTACTAACCAAGCCTGATCTTGTGGACAGAGGTGCAGAGCCACGGGTGGGGGGCCTGGTGAATGGTAGCTCGTACAAGTTGAAGCTTGGTAAGTGACGATCAGGATCTATCAAATGCATATGCTGACTTGCATCAAGGATGGCATCTTGTTCGTAACCCTGGCCAGCAGGATCTATCCGACCCATTGTTGGACCGTGCAAGCTTGGAGATGGACTTCTTCCGCTCCACTTCACCATGGAACAAGATTTCGAAGGACAGGGTCGGCGTCGAGTCACTGCGAAGCAAGCTAAAGGAGATTCTCGCCGGCCTGATCAAGACGGAGTTCCCAAAAGTGAGTATCTTCGTCAAAATATTATACGCCCACTGACAGTCAATAGGTGCAGCAGGAGATCCGCAAGAGGCTCGCAGCCAGTGAAAAGTTGAAGAGTGCTCTCGGTCCGGAGCGTGAGAGCTCTGCTGCGCAGATGGCTTCCCTCACTGAGATTGCCACAAAGTTCCAGCGCCTGGTTTCCTTGGCTCTCGCTGCGAACTATGGCGCAGACAGTGTCTTTGATACAAATTCCTCGCTTCGAATTGCTCCATCGGCTACAGCGCRGATGACTGCGTTTTCAGACGACATGGCACGCTACGGTCAGGAATATGCATTTCTATCGTCAGACCATGTTCCTGGTAGCAGTATCGCCGAAGCTGTAGATCTTCCTGCTCCGGAAGGCCGCAAGATCTTCCTCACCAGAAAGCAGGATGATATCGACGAGCTTGTCGATATTCTGCATCCTCAGCAGGATKTTCCTCACTCCCTCGAAGGCTCCATCTTGCCATGGCTCTTGAAGGTGTACAGAGGCAACCGTGGCTTTGAGCTGGGTACGTTCAACACAACAATTTTGGCCACGGCCATGAAGAAGCAGTCGTCGAAGTGGTCCGATATTAGCTTGGCCTATGTTAGCGACATGATCGTCATGGTTCATAGGTTCATTAAGACCGCTTTGCGGTCTGTGTGCCCAGACGTTGATATCCGACGCGCTCTGTCCAGCATCATGAGCGACACTCTCATCGGACGCTACCAGAAAGCCATCGTTCACGCAGAATTCCTGCTTCAGATTGAAGGCGGCGGAACGCCGATGACTCTGAACCACTACTTCAATGAGAATCTGCAGAAAAGGTAAGACAGTCTGCTCGCAGCTTGGTAAGTATGAGGATGTCCCTACAGGTTCACTCCGCTCAACAGATCCTTCGTCACTCTGAACGGAAGGATTTGTTGATGAGGAGGTTCCTAGTGGCTCTCAAGATGCCAACAGCGTTGAGAGAACATTCTCGGGAATATGCCGAAAGTTGTTCGAGACTTCCGCTTCTTGAACAATGCTCATGGCGATGGCTCAGTCTGCGAACATATTTGCTGAACAATCCGCTAACGTTTCTCCAGTCGCCAAGGAAAAGTCAAAGCTGCAATGCAGAGCAAGGCCATGAACCTCACCCAGCAGGGGTATGGTGAAGTCGTTCGTCTCGACGACGCCATGAAGGGCCAGTCCATGAGTAACGAGCAGCACATCATCCACGACATCCACGACATCCTCCAGTCGTACTACTAGGTAACGCGCAAAACGTTTGTGGACAACGTTTGCAAGCAGGCTACAGACCATTTCCTCCTGGCGGGTCCGGAAAGCCCACTTTATCTGTTCTCTCCGATGTTCGTCAGCCACCTTTCGGCCGAGGAACTTGAGAGCATCGCAGGGGAATCGTCCGGGATGAAGCGGGAGCGGACACAGCTTCGCAAGGAAATTGAGAGCTTGACTGAGGCGAAGAAGATTCTTGCGAGAGCTTGATTATGTCGCCTATCATTGGGTTTCTGCATCATCGCATGAGCGACACGGCCGGTTGAAGGCGCTCTGGCGGCTCTAGATCATGACAGGTTCGGTGAGGCGACTTTGAGATTGTAGAAGGTTTCTGGGAGTTCTTTGCGGCGAGCGGTGGTCTGAGCGCGTGATTGGTGCGAGTCTCAGCATGTGAGACATTCAGATTCTTCTGCGACGAATTCCCGTGAATAGTAGCAGCCTCAGCTTCGAGCCTTGGGTCGAGAGTTTGAAGGACTTTACGTACGGCCCAATGAGTCTTGAAGCACGTACGATCTGCTGCGTCCCGCCAGTGAGTTTGGTAAGCCTTGTCCAATGTTTTCATTTTCATTCCCATTGCCGTTTTTGATTGGAATCACCAGACATGTTCTAGACATCGTCACGGCACCAGATGATTGTGAAGGCCCTCTCCAACTGTGCAAGCGACTTTGGAGAGCCCATCGATTCCTCTCAGATCGTAGGCATCAGTGACCAGGTTCAGGAGAAGCAATGTGCTGGAAGAGAGGGGTCAGTTCTATTACATCGACCATGAACGAGCGTCGTACCGCATCCCCCGCGCTCCTTCATTTTCGAATGAAGTTACAGCGCAAGCATTGAGACATCCCTTCAAAAGCTTCAAGGCGGCCATGAAGGCAGTGACATGAAGTTCGGGAGGATCGAAGACAAGACCGCGGATCTCGGAGTGCGAATTGCTGCATGGATAGAAGTGTAGAAGCGTTTCAGATTTGGCATTATCTCATCATACACACCTGGCATGTGTTTTACATAGAAATGCACATCCGCAACGCTCATGCTATGCTGCTGAGGTAAAATTGTCGCTGTGGGCTGTGCTGTATATCTCGGTCGCCGCCGGTAACGCTATTTCCGCCTCTTTGCAACATCCACCGACGGGCGGATGGCTGGAATGGGTCGTCAATGATGTTTGAAAGTCGACTCGTCGTCAAAAATAATAATGCAGTCGTAAAGCGTGGAGTCAGTTCATGATTCACCGACGTAGACCCACTTCTTGTCGGCCTTGGTCAGGCCTGTCTGGGCGAATTGCGTGCCCAAGGTCTCTTTGATGGCGTCGTGTGTGAGCTTCGGAAATCTGCATCTACGATTAGCTTGGAGTTCGGTCAGGCGGCTGACACGACGTACCTGGCCTTCAGTCCTTTCTGGAGCTCCAGTTTGCCAAGAGGACTGTCAATAACAGCCTCCTTGAACTCCGCAAGATCCTCCTTGCTCAACGTCCGCGGTGCAGGCTTAGGTCCGCGCTTAGCGCCCTGATTCTGAGACGCCGCGACGGTGGTGATGGGTCCGCGATGACCCTCAGTCGCTCCGACGAGACCGGTCTCTGGAACATTCAAGCGCGGCTGGAGTGGTGCTCTAGGGGGTGGCATTGATCCTCCCGGGGGTTGCATAGCAGTGCTTTGCCAGTACGCGTCTGAAAAGGGGTCGATGGTCATCTCGGTGAGACCTGGAAGCATCATACCAATCCGCATCCCATGCATTACGGGTGGCTGTTTGTTGGTTTCGATACTCTCCACGACATAGAGATGGTGTGCTTCATTTTCCCAGCACAAGCCGGTGGTCTCGGGGACGAGTTCTCCAGTGGCAACTCTACGCTTGCTCTTTGCGTTGTCTTCCTCGTCGTCAAGGAAGTCGTCAATCTCGTTGGCATCGCCTTGACTGTCTGCCTCGTCTTCGGCCTCTGACATGATTTCTTCGTCGCCCTCCTCTGGCTCCTCCCACTCTGCCTCCGAATCGTTGTCATAGTCTGTATCGGGTCGTGCACGTATAAACGGATTTCGCCGGACCCGGTGGAGTTTGCGCGGCGAGCTGATCTTGGTATATGTGCCAAAGTATGCGGGTCGCACGTCCTGTTGAAATTCGATGTGCCGTATTGATGCTTTGCGTAGATGGTCCAGCGCATTGTCTCCGGCGTGCATTCCCGTCAAGTCAATGGGCTGCTTCACAGTTCCATCGATTAGTCCCACTATCTCCTTGATACTACGGACAGGTTCGCCACGTGTTGTGCCGGGCTCGACGGCAAAGTAATGAGCAAGTTCCGCGTAGGAGTCCGCAATCCCCAGATCAAACTTCTCTCGYAGAGATGGATCGTCCAGCTCGTGGTCGAAAAGGTCCGATGTAGCGCTCGACTGTTGGGGGAGTGGTGCAAGAGTGCTATTTGTGGGAAGCATGAAAGGGAGAAAGGTGCGTTGATAGTCGGAAAGTCCAGCCCGTTTGCTCACAACAGGCTTCTTTTCGGGCGGTGGGGTGCCTCGTGCTGGAGATGCTGAGATTTTGATCCTCTCCGCTACCGCGTCGTACGGCTCGAGAGACAAAGACTTGCGCCTAGCAGTGCCTATTGTGGTGAAAGTGTTAGCGGGATGTCGCGAGCGCAAGAAACATGACACTACAGCCGTACCTGGTTGGCTCTCATTGCCATCGCCGTCTTGTCTCGCTGGAGTGGCGGGBGTTTGGAAGAAATTGCCGAGTCTCATCTGCTTTCGCTCCTTTTCAAGTTTCTCATGAGCCTCGCGCTGTTTCGCGAGTTCCTTCTCCCGTTTCTTGGCTTCCTGAACAAAACACACGTTAGCCCATAGTCGAAATCAGAGTATCCATGCGAGCATTTCGCCCCTGATAGCAAAGCTACGAGCATTCAAGTGTTGAATCGACGTACCGCTTCCTCGGCCTTCTGCCGCTTCTTTTCATCGTTCAAGCGTTTATTCTCGTCCCTGATGATCTGCTGTTTGGCCTTCTCTTCCTCTTTGCGTGCTTTTTCTGCCTCCTTAAGCGCCTTCTTCTCGGCCGTCTCGCGTGCTTTGGTGTCCTTGAGCCGCGCTGCTTCCACTTTCTCCGATGGTGTCAATTTTCGTCGCTTTGTAGGAGGTGGTCCAGATGTAGATTGGGGAGCCGCTGTGTTCGCAGGTCCGGCCATTGGGTTGGAATCAGCGCCATTGTTGCTGATTGTGACTTCCGCAGCACTGCTGAGAATGCTACTGGAAGCTGGCGACGCGGCACGTCCCATGTCGTCGTTGTTGTTACTGGCGTCCGGACTTGCATTACTAGACTCCTCAGTGTCGGGTGGTGTGGGCATGATGAACTGGTTTCCTTTCAGATTGAGTGGCTTATCACCGTCTTGATGCTCCTCCTCAGGTGCACAACGTTTCCGAATGTTGGTCTCGGGCGGAGAGGAGACGATGTCGTCCATTGAAGGGGAAGCGTTGTTATAGTGTACCCGAATGTTCCGTCTGGTTCTTGAAGTGTTGTAATCGTGGGGATGGTGTCTGCCTCGACGCGTAGGTACGCGACTTTGGCTTTGGCTTGGCAAAGGGTCGAAGTTAAAGCAGTTGGGATCCACTTCTACCTCACGTCCTTCTTGCATCTCTTTCGTCTCGTTCAACATGCTCCTTCTGCCATTGCCAACACAATGGACGACGACTTCGAAGAGCTCCTCTGCGAGAACGAGCTACTTCACGGCTCATCCCAAGGGTCGCTGACCGATGCAGCTGCTAATCTGTCGTGTGTCGAGAATGGGGGAGAAGACGTGATTTACACATCCCAGAACGTGTATGATTCCGCCCATGATCAGAACATGGTACCGCGAGCACTTTCAAGCGAGCTGACTGCTGCCGCCGTGTCCGATCTTGCTGTTTGCGACCCCATTCAAAGGACTCACCCCAAGTACACCCCATGGCGTAGCTGAGACCTGCTCAGCGACTGACATGTACAGTGCGGACGTGATTGACCGGATCGAAAATGTGTTTGAGCAGATTGCCGATGCGATGCTGAACGAGAGGAAGCAAATCAGCATCACCTTGAAGACAAGATTGCGAGCATCAACTGACATCCGGCCTGACGAGGATCGCATGAAGCGGCTCTCCTTTCCCGGCAAGAGCGCCGATGAAGCATGGAGATTCGGTGAATACCTGCTTATTCGTGGACGATCGCTGGGCATACTGACGTTCAAGTAGCGGTCGTGATACGCATTCTTGAGCTCATGCACGAAGCGCTTCGAAATGATGTTGTCATGTCCAAAAGGTCGATTCACTCCTCTAAGGCTTCCATGGCATGCTCACTCTCACAGGGACATTTACTACAGAGATCCCGCTCTTTTCGGCAGTCAAACTCACGTTGATCGCTACGTCGACGACATTGCCTTCACATTCGGTGTCACCAGAACCGCACTCAATGTTACAGCCGTTGCCAAAGGCTTGGTTGCTGGTGCCGTCACTTTCTGCCGTAGAGACGGCTCAACTTTCACCGCAGCTGGTGATCAAGACGGTGTTCTCGTACCTGCTCTCAAAGACATACTCTCCGTTGATATGTCTACTGTCCGCTGGGTATTGGTCATTGAGAAAGAAGCCACATTCCGTTCCATCGCTGCCTCCAGCTTCTGGGAGCATATCGCAACCGAAGGCGTCATTATCACCGGGAAAGGCTACCCAGATCTTGCAAGTCGTGCTTTATTGCAATTCCTCGGCACAGCATCTCCGCGAAATGGCTTTGCATCTCCGCCGGTGTACGGACTGGCAGACTTCGATCCGGATGGTGTGGCGATCATGTCAACCTACAAGCATGGATCAAAAGCTTTGGCGCATGAGAATAAGAGTCACAGTGTGCCGCAGTTGCAGTGGCTGGGCCTACGCAGCAAGTCTCTGCTGCTTGATGCAAATGACTCGCATGTTACGCAAGAAATTATGATGCTTACAGCCCGGGACAGGAGGAAAGCACTTCAGACGATTCAGTACGGAGGCATTGCGGGCAATCGCGTTGACGGCGAATTGGTGGCGGAATTAAAAAGAATGCTCATGCTGAATATGAAGGCCGAACTGCAGCTGCTCGATGCTGTGCCTGGAGCAATGATGAGGTTGCTTCACACATTGTGCAACACCGCAAATGTTTAAAGCGCCACACTGGAGGGAAGTGAGTATTGATTCTTGATTGTTGATCATCCAATATCAAAGAAAGAGTCCGCAGAAATGGCTTTCGTGGGAAGCTTCGACACATGAATGATCTTGAGAACCACCTGCTTTGAAGTACATTGAAGGAAAGTAGGTATGTTGGAGGAGAATGACAACCTTGAAGGAACAGTTTGCACCCTGTGGGTCCGCGACGCCCCTCGGCCGACCTCGCTCAGGGGTTCGGGACGGTTTTCTGCCACCTCACCTGCAGGTCGGTCCTCCCGACATCGTCACACCTGCCAAGTATTAAGACCCAATGTCTTCATTGCAGGCCTCTGCAAGTCTTTTCACACAAATGATAGGCCATGCAAGGACTGACAGGGATCTTTCTTGGTCACCAGGCACCACACTCCAGAGGGTCCACTCGCACTTCATCCTTCAGGACCTGCCTCCCTTCTCCTCTTTGTTTCACACCTGCATGAGATGCACCTGTTCGCATGCCGAAAGTCATGCGCTGTATGGAGCAGACGTTGGCTCCCTGAGGATTCAAGCGCTGCGGTGCGTTGCACGTACCCGATGATGACTCTTCCGACGCAGTTCAATCCCAGACGCATCGACTCTGACTGGAGACAGGGCCTTTACAGCTGGCAATTTTGATTAGGTGTGCCATGGTACCATCGTGCTCTGCAGCAGGTAGTTCTGTGCCTCCAATAGGTAAGTTGGCTGCTGACACCAGCAGCGGTCAGTGGTTTGGATATGATGTGTATCCCGACGATGCTGCTCTTTTCTTGGTGTTCTTCACAGAACAGCACAACTATACTTGTCACTCCATCCGTACACTTCTTCAAGATGCTGGCTGTGCACTGCTTTGGGGCGATTGCCATGTGCCTTGGCTCACTTACAGCTGCGAGCAAAGCACAAAACGCATTGTCTCCCTACGGTCCGTTATCATGTCTAGGCGACAGTACAAGGTCTACAAGCGCGAGCTATCCGCAGCTTCGAACGGCTCCCAGGAAGAGAGCCGTAGTAGGGGCCGCGTCCCAGTTAGTTGCAACTGTGACGATCACCGACATGGACACGTCCACTGTTTTTGTCACTACCTCGTAAGCTAATAGCGAGACCCTTGATGCCATGAGCAGATTTTGACCAAGAGCAGATCCATTGCCTACACCGTCTCTACAGCGACCATCGTGTTCACCTCAACGAAGACTACATATACTCCGGCAACCTCTCTACCCATGAGAAGACTGCGACATGGACCCATCGCACATACGGACGATACAGCTGACATTACTGCTGAGATCAATAGAGCTGCAGAGGCAACATTGACTACTACGACAGTCAACGCCGGTCTCACCATAACATCCTTCATAAACGTTGGCGCAACACACTTCGATCAGACGGTCAGCTCGACAATTACAACGACTTTGATGCTCCCAGCACCAACTTACACGTACGCGGCCGCTGTTAATGCTGGCTGTCAGAACACCCCTACCGTGGACACGCTGCAGCTTGATCCTAGCGTCACAGACAAGAATGATGCTGTCACGATGTGCCAGGATCATTGCTCTCAGAATGGACAATGTGCCAGCCTTGTTGTTCAGCATTTGTTTCCGGACTATGGAGATGTCATTTCGGTTTATAAGTGCTTTATGAATGGGCAGAACTTTGATGAAGGTTCGAATCTGTTGTGTGGGCTGGCAGAAAACGTTTGGGGAGCAGCAGATGCATATGATGCTGTTGGAAGAGGATTGCCAGACGAGTGAGCTTCTCACTCCATGGTCGCGTCGAGGGTCCATTGATCCGCTATCATCATTCGAAAGAAATCTGTTCATTCAAAAAATACGTTCTCGACATCATGCCAAATTGGCGGTCGTTCTGCCTACTCTGCGCGCATTTCAGTGGATCATCAGAGCCGTTCCAACATCTTATCACTTTCCAGAACCAAGCTTAAACATCGRATCGCAACACCAAACACCATCGCTGAGCAGCCCCAAATCTCTTGTAGTTGCGGTGAAAACAAAAAGCCAGCCCTCCAACTCAAACAACGGAAGATCCCAAACGCTTGTACACCTCTCACCCAAGACCACCCCAAGCGCCACGTATACGCCTTGCAAGCTGAATGTCTTTTTGCATAATCGTTACACGCTTCGCGTGGATGGCGCACAGATTCGAATCCTCAAAAAGATGTATCAGAAATGCTTCTGCTGCTTCTTGCAAAGCCTGAATCGCTTGTGACTGCCATCGTGAAACTTCCGATTGTGGAGGCGCAACGTTCATACAGACTTCTCGTACCTGTCCCAAAATGTAAGCGATTCATCCTCGTACAATGGTATTTGGGGACGAAGTCGTACCAAGCGTGAAAATGGCAGTTTTGCAATCAACAACTCTGTCGATTTCTGATACCTCCTAATCTCTCTTAATGCAACAGTCCCAGGCTTGTAGCGATGCGCTTTTCCCGGACCTCGTCCTAGTTCTTGTCAGTTCGATGCGCAAATATGCATCTTCAAGATCGCATCATGAACTATCACGTACCTGCAGCTCCGCTACTTTGTCTTTTCCCTTTTGGGGTCGTCTTTCCAACTGATTTTCCTCCCGTACTCGCTCGTCCTTTGCCCGTCTGTTTTGTGCGCGCCATTTTCTACCAACTTTTATCGATCCTTGTGCCCAGCAGCAACAGTAAGTTCTACCAAAGGCGAATAGTTTTGCGCGACAAAGGAACCAGCTTTAATCGTATCGTCCAGCAAGCGAGTGAGGACTCAAGCCAGTGGCGCACGCGTTGTAGCAGAGTCGTTTCGCTGTCGGAGCCGGTCGCGTCGTCAATCGTGAATTGTAAGTCTGCCAAATTCAAGTCCAAGATGTCGTGTTCAGCAATTGTCGAGATTGCGCTGCATTCCTCGCGATCTTGGTCGCTCTGTTGTTGTTTCCTTTCGCGCATCATCCCTGCAACCAAGCCACGCTTCCGACGGCAGGTGCCGTGTGGGGATGGAAAGCACAGCCGCATGCACGATTACAACGCCTCCGACCGATAAGCRGACCAGCCCAGCGCGCAATTGACACCTCGCTTTCTTTGTTGCTTGCCACGTCTTGTCTTACTCGCGCACGTATACATCTGCCAGCTGGCAGTAGCGAGCTTCCAATCTCGAAATACGCCCACCCGCATACTTCCGCACCCTCACCACCGCGAGACAATCACTAAAACCCAACTATCCATCGGTGGATTCATTCCAACTACGTCAGCCGAAGTCGAACGGACTCAACAACGAGCAAACATGGCCGACGCGGTGGGAATTGGTGCCGGCGGCGCACTTGCTCAGGGACTCCCGCTTGAGCAGTGGTTTATGGAAATGCCCCCATGCACACGCTGGTGGACGGCGGCGACGGTGATCACRGGGGTTTTGGTGCAGTGCGAGATCCTTACACCATTCCAGCTGTTCTACAGCTTCSGTTCTGTCTTTCAGAAGCAGCAAGTATGTTGCGTGTTGGCTTCTTCTTCTACGACAAAGCTGACCATTCACGTCCAGTTCTGGCGATTAGCGACGACCTTCATCTACTTCGGCCCTTTATCGATGAACCTCCTCTTCCACATCTTCTTCATCCAACGCTACGCACGAATGCTCGAAGAGGCAGCTGCATCTGTTGCGCACTTCAGTTGGCTTCTTGCCTTCATTTCCGTCACTCTCCTCTCCATTGCGCCGATGTTCAGCCAGGCTTTCCTCGGAACAACGCTCAGCAGCACATTGGTGTATATTTGGTCGAGGAGGAACCCAGATACGCGGTTGAGCTTCATGGGACTTATGGCGTTCAAGGCGCCTTGGCTGCCGTGGGTTTTGGTGGCCTTCAACGTGGTGCTTAATGGACATTGGCCGAAGGACGAGCTGTGCGGGATCGCTGTTGGACACAGTAAGTGCAAACCGTGAGACAATCCTTAGGGAAACGATGGCTAACAGGGCGCAGTCTGGTACTTCTTCAACGACATCTATCCCTCAGCACACAATGGGCACCGGCCGATGGACCCTCCTGGTTGGTGGATCCGGCTGTTCGAGGGCGCCGCACTACCAGCAGCCACCGAGTCTGACGTACATGCCGCGGCTATCAACCGCGATATTCCTGCGCCGATGGTTCCTGGTGTTCAGTAGACGTGGCGTATAGGCGGAGGACATCTTGATGAATTGCATTGCATTGCTACGTACTTTGAGCGAACCACATTTGGTCATGAGTTCCAGATTATAATGAGGTATAGCGAAGAAACAAATTCCAGGGATTTACGAGAAATTACAGGACCTTCTTCTATTCAATCGGTGGCATTCAAGTCATATTCTATTTTCGTTCCGCCGGTGAGTCAAGCATGTCCTCTGGCTGTCCGAGTGACTGTTGGGCGCTTTCGGATGTCGGACATGTTGATTCRCGACCACTCGTTGGCTTTTGCGCAGGCCCAACTCAGTCGRGCTGCTGTCCAGAAGGCAGGGTTAGCTGTAGGCGCTTACCGCAGCACGGACATCATGAATCTATCGAATCGGATCAGTAGATGAGCATCTCAAGGGTGATATGAGCATTCTCCTGGCATTTTGTCGTTGTTGCAGTTTCGGTGCCACTTCAGCGACATAGTAGGCCACGCATTCCAGCTCCTTCCTTAATAGGAAAGTGGAGTTATGGCCTGGCAACGTGAGGCATATCAAGTCGTCAAGTCCTTCATATAGTGTGTAAGAGTCGCCACTTCTATCAATTACGTGCCGGAGATGAAGCTGAACACGATCTTGAAGATCTCGAACCTTCTCACCGTCACCCACCGCGTTGCAAAAGAAGGGTCATCTGATTTGCTAGCCCGGATTCGGCGCTAAGTTCGGTTCATGTCCGGCAAATTTATTACAGTACTTGTTTGTTTGTAGTTTTTGGCATTTCAATCAATGGGCCCTTGTGGTCAATCGTGTACGATTTGCGTTACATGGCGTGTCTCACGGCTTCGGCCTCGACGGTGTCTCCCACATTGACTACTTGCGAGCTTGGGCTCAAACCAGCGCAGTCACCTTCTGCACTTAAAGACGATCACTCCGGTGGTCGAGTTCTTTTTGTCAATCTATCAACTTTGATATTGCTTTCTTTTTGCTCAACTCCAGGGCGCCAAGCCGACAATGAAGAGGTGTTTCTTTTGGTTGTTTTGCAGAGTGACTCGTCCTCATTCTTGCTGCTGATACAAGCGAGGGTTCGAGCCTCAAACCAGGGTTCGAGCCACAAGCCAGGGTTCGAGCCGCAAGCCAGCTGGAGGGTTCGTTTGCTTCTCATGTATGACGTTTATCTAGGTCGGGCTTGCTAACGTGCATCGTCTCACTTAAGCAGATCGCGGTCCACAAGACGAATACGTGATAGACGCGAATAACATAGTGCTTCAGGAGTATTGAACTAGCTATTGCTAAACTCTCCGTGTGCCAAGGGGATTCCTCGGGAGGTCAAGCTTTGTGGAGCTTCCTCGCCCGGGCTATCGTCGCCAGTCGTGAGATCGAACAACGCAGCAGCTTGGCTCATTTGAGGCCCCGAAAGTTGGTTCATCTCGCCACCATCATCCGCTACCTTGGAGTCCTACTGCTCTCCAACAAATAGACCGCTTGGACCAGCTGGAACACCATCAGTCAGCGGAGCAATCAATTTGCAATGGGAGATAGGTTGCTCCTACTGCTTACACTTGCCGTTTGATGCACCGATCAAGACCTATTTGTCGCCTCCAGTTCCGGCGTTAGACTTCGCCTCGCTCTCGCGACGCTCGATCTCGGCCAGAGCAGCACCGGCCATCTGCTGGAGCCTCTGATGGGCTGGATCGGCGTAGGTCTTGTGCGCCTCGCGATATAACGCCGGAGGCTTCTGCTTCTCCGCCTCATCTCTCTTGGCCTCAACATCCTGCGCCTCGGCCTGACGCACCATGCGCTTGATGTACTCTGTCTCGTTGGGAAGCTCCTTGTTGTTGCTCTGAGCGTCGCGGTAGAYGCGTCGAGCTGCGTTGGCTGAGATGTTTGTTAGTATACTATTCACGCTTGTTCGAAAATACAGACATACCACTGCGTGTACAGTTGTACTTCGATCTCGCTTCCTCGGCGGCCATTGCCCAGAAATCGCCCTCGTTCTTCGCAACGACCTTGTCACTAATCATCTTGACTACAACCTTCTCGATGAATTCACGGTCCAAGGTATTGCCCAGATCATCGGACATCGAGCCACTCATGTTTGCGATCGATTCGAGGGATCTGGTCGTTCTGCTTTGTCTCGAGTGGTGTAGAGCTGCTGAGATACTGAGATCAGATCAAAGTGCCGTTGTCCGAGAACGATGTATCGGAGTTGGATCAGTGGTAGGAGAGTGGTGAAGAGAAGATCCGCTCTTGGATAGTGAAGGCTGCTATTTAATGTGGCGTGAGCACTGCCAGTGACTCGTACTGTGAAGGACAATTTTTCGTGTCCACGGATGATTTCTTTGTTCATCAGGCTGCAGCGCATGCTACTCACTGTGTCCATTTTCTCCGTGCATCTGGTAAGACATGTAAGATTCTCGGAAATTTAGGGTTTTCGGATCATGCCGGTGAGTGAATGAATCTAGCGCCTTTCCGGCCCATATTCCCGCTCGCACCAGAACATGCTCACATATCAATTAAGTCCATGCTGTCCAACTGTCAGAATGGGAGAACCGTGTGCCAATGGAGAAGGGCAGCAGCTGAGGAAGTAGATCGGTCAGGTTTGAACAGGTGGAACGGTTCTGCGTCCGGACCAGATCGATTCTAACCGATTTCCTTGTCATAGTACGCAACGGAAGCTCAAGCCTCTAGTAACGTCCATGATTTGCAGGTCGACAAAAGTGCCTTGATTCAATGATATGATGTTTGTGGCCGCAGTTCCATCCACGGTCAGAATTAATGGCTCTTCGGCCAATAACACTTGGACATCTCATCCGGATTCAACTGCTCCACCTTGGATTTCTCCAGACTGCGAGGACATCGCTTTCTTGAGACCCCACCCCACAACACCTCTCCGGAGCGCGAGAGAACATCTTTGCAAAGAGGCATGCTCTATTCTTCCATGCGGCCCGATCAGACCTGAGACGGCCATTTACCAGCCGCTGTCCGATATCCCGAGTAGAGTCTCTTCGATGATTCAGTATCTTCTAATCACACCACATCCATGCGTACTCGTCGTTGTAGACGAGACGAGAGACTCAATCCTGTAAATCTCCAGCTTTCAAGCTTCAATGTTGGGTCTGAGCATGCAGGACGAACGGACTAGTTGTTCAGGGTACAATGCATTAATACGACAGATGCGCTGGAGAACTTCTATTGCATTGTGAAGACATCCAATGTCCATTGATGAGGTGAGGTGATGTTGACATCTCCGAGGTCGGCCTTCTCTCTCCAGATATTTCGTTCCGAACAGGGATCCTGGTAGTCTCAGAAGCTTGGCCACGCGGAGGACGTTGGCCTAATTGGGGAAAGCGTGGCTCTGAGCTTTTGAGACTAGGATCCTTGAACACCCTATTTATGTGCCTCGGTGCTCGGCCATTGAGCGCGAGTTGCTTCTCAGTCAGACATGGACTGCGTGTCTTTTTCGATGCTTGCATCCACATGTCGCACTCATCGACACTCTAGTGTAGCCATCGAGGGGAGCGAGCAACGGCCAGAAGTCCGCTGAGTCCGTCACCAGACGGCCAGCTCCACCGAGCAGACGCGATGGCGCCTTCAGACACCAAAGATCCCTTCCTGCGGGTTCCATGGATCGCTAGCCAAATCGGACGCCCAGATGTGATTTGCAGACCCCCCAAATCTCGCGAACCCAAGGATACCTCTGAGGACTCGCTGTGGGCTGAGACTCTGAAAGATTCGCGCACCATCAACTCGTGCATCTGCTTCTACCAAAAGCCCGCCAGTGGTGTGGGTCATGCAGAGGAAGTCAGCACGGCCATGACCATTGGAGATGGCTTAAATGGACATCCTGCCATCCTTCATGGTGGAATAACATCAACAATGGTGGATGAGGCCATGGGCATGTACCAGATGATAAACAAGGAGCTCGCTTATGAAGCACAAGTTCAGAGCGGAAAGGTAGATGGCGAGTTGCCTCCGGTTGTTTTGCATGCCTTTACGGTAGAGCTTAACATCAAGTATCTACGCACTGTGCAAACTCCAGGAAACGTGGTTATAACCGTCAAGAGGGTGAAGGTGGAAGGCAGAAAGGAATGGCTAGCAGCGGAACTGAAGCAGTGTACGGAACATGGAGCTGTTGAGGTATGCGCAACGGGAGAGGCACTCTTCATCACACCACGAGTGTCACCACGACCGTCCAAGATTTGAGTCGACTGAGGAAGGACCAATGACCACATAAGGACTTTGGTGGAAGCCGTACCGGTTAGTTCAATTTCTCGGCGGTGCATGATGATCCTTTCTATGCCTGAGCTGCAATAGCTTTACCACTTGCATATGTGTGCGCGAGAAGCGAATAGTTTAGACCAACGTCAAGACTCCGCTTCAAACCCACAGGATCCTTGAGACACATGAACGGAGCCACGGCAACCTGGTGCGCATGTTCCCGATCAAATTAAGAAGGCATCAAGCAGCAATCGACGCACAAGCATCGATCGACGCACAAGCATCATGCCGCTGGCTTCTTCAACGCATTCATGTGGGCCATCGATGTCAACACACACCGGTTTAGCAGTAGCTGATTCGAGCGCCATGCTGCCGCATTGTTCTGATCGACAGTAAGGTGAGGCTTTTTGTGCCCGGTGAGACGACATGCGCTGATGACCGCGAAAAAATGTGCCTCAATATCTCACGACATGCGCGATTATTTCGTTTCCAAATTGACGTATTTGTGCTGTTGCAAGAAACTCAGCTTTGCGTTGAATAACGACGAAGTAAGGTAGCGGGCGTCAGCCAATATATTCCGATAAGAGAGCAAAAGGCAGCGAAACAGCCCTGAAGCGAAACAAGCAAAACGGACCTGGAGTAAAACCCGGTCGCGAAAGCCACACGCGTGGTAAAAAGCGTGGCCAGCACGCGATAAGGAAGGCGCGGGACGTCGCCAAGTGAATGATCGGTCCTCTAACCAAAAGTAGACTGTCGATGCGAAAGTCGGGGTATGTAACATCCTGGCCCGCAATCCTACGGCTTGGTTCTGTAGCGTCACCTCTTATCTATCACCAGGTGCCCATTGGGCGTGTCTTGGGAGACGCCAATCCATCACACCCTCACCCTCACTTCTTCTACTTCCTCCAGAAATATCTGTTCCTCGTCTGCGACAATCACCTCTTCATGGATGTTGAAACTGGAGACTTGGCACCGAAATCCAAACTCAGCCACACGCCGAGTCGCGATGATGCCCATTCACTCGAAGAAATCGGGCATATCAACACGCTCTCCAAGAAGTTTGACCTCTGGTCTATGCTAGCGTTGGCCTTTTGCGTGCTTGGAACATGGTCGACTTTCGCACAAGGTCTTGCAAGTGGCTTATCAGCGGGCGGCCCGGTCAGCATTCTATGGGGCTTATGTCTCGTCTTTGCGTGCAACATATGCGTTGCTCTCTCTCTCGGCGAGCTCTGCAGTAGCATGCCTACAGCTCTTGGTCAGGCGTACTGGGTCAATCGTCTATGGGACACTCCCTCCGGACGATTTGGAAGCTACTTGTGCGCATGGATCAACACCTTCGGCTGGTGGACTCTCACGGCCTCTCAAGTCGCGTTTATGACCAACTTCATTCTTGCCCTCAAGGTCATGTTCAAAAATGAATGGAGCGGAGCCTCTAAAGGCTGGGTGCAATTCCTTCTCTACCTTGGGATAACGCTATTGTTTACGGTGGTGAACTTGACAGCTTGTCGCAGAGATCGTATCTTACCGATATTCAACAGCTTCGTTGGCGTTTGGTTCGTCGGACTCTTTTTCATCTTCTCGCTGGCCTTGTTGATCTCCGTCGGTACCAAGAGCGGCCTGCAGTTCCAGCCGGCGTCGTTCGTCTTCGGTACCTGGCTAAATCAAACAGGCTGGAATGATGGCGTCACTTGGTTCTTAGGTCTTCTGCAGGGCGCGTACGGTCTCACAGCATTTGATGCCGTTATTCATATGGTGGAAGAACTACCATCTCCCAGGACGAACGGTCCCAAGGTTATCTGGCTGGCAGTTCTTTGCGGGGCCATCTCTGGGTTCCTCTTCATGGTCGTTTGCCTGTTCTGCATTCAGGACTTGAAGGATGTGCTCGACGGTCCGACTGGTCTTCCTTTCGTGGATTTGATGAAACAGACGGTTGGTCTTCAAGGCGGATGTGCTTTGCTATCCCTCTTCGTCTTCAATGGCTTGAGTCAAGGCGTGAGCATCGCTACATCCGGCAGCAGGCTGACGTGGGGCTTTGCAAGAGATGGCGGCATCCCATGGAGCACATACTTCTCTCACGTGGATCCGGTGTGGAGGGTTCCGGTACGAGCGCTGTGGCTACAAGGCGGTGAGTACTGTTTAGGCMCATTGACGTTGTGAKCATTGGTTTGCCACAACTGCAGATCCTCTTTCGTTGTACGTCTTTCTCTGAGCATTGCTGACGTTTTCTCTTTCGKATAGGCATCATCGGCCTTGTCGGAATCCTCTATCTCTTCGCCAACAATGTTTTGAGCGCCGTCCTCGCCGTCTGTACCATTGCGTTAACAATATCATACGGCATGCCCATCCTCACGCTGCTCCTGGTCGGTCGCGACAAGCTACCTGCAGGCGGAGAATTCCACCTGGGCAAATTCGGTCCCGTCATCAACTGGGTCAGTGTGATTTATTGCAGCGTTACAACAGTATTCTTCTTCTTTCCCAGCGAGCCGGCCCCTGCTGTGGCAGATATGAACTACGCGATAGCGGTCTTCGCAGTCATGATTGTGGTAGCCCTCGGCTTCTGGCTAGTCACCGGACGCAAGACGTACTTGAAAACGAACGACGCTGCGATGAGGCTAGAAATGGCAAGAAGGCTGGAGATAGACCCGATCTCCACCACTGTGTTGACGAAAGATATCTGAACGCAATCCATCAACGTTTACCAATCACCCTGACTTCATGCAATACCCCTGAGTCCATGTTGCCACCCAGACCCGCCGAACCACGTTCGACTACCTCACAGCTCCACACCTCTCCCTATTACATTGCCACGCAGCACGCTTTCTTCCCTTCCTTCTTCAAATTCTCCCGCTCAAGTCGTGCCCGCTCCTGAAGGTCTTCGTTTCGAACTTTGGCACGCTGACACAGAGTCTCACATTCCATGGTAGCGCGGATCTTMTGTTGATATGCTCGAACAGTCGCTAATGCGAGTGTTCGATTGCCGGTCGCGATTAACTCATTCATGTTCGGGGCAGCTGGAATGGCAGGATCACCTCCATTACCAGTCGGGGCGTTTCTTTCTTTGGGTTTTGCAATCAACTGTCGACATCTTTGTGCGCACTGTTGGAACTGGGTCTCAGGAGAGGTGCAGAGGAAGTGTTCAACGTCGGCGAAGTCGTCGAGGATGGTTATTGGGGTGGCCATGATTTGGGATAATCAATGATTGTCTGTTTGAGTTGATCTACCAGAGCTCAAATGCAGACAAGTCTACGGGTCACGCTCATGCACCCGTTCACAGGCCGATGGAGAAGGCGCGGCTCGTATAGGGTTAGGGTTGGGGTAGTGGAACATCAGCATTTCTGCCTGTTTAGCATTATTCACGACACACATGACGGTTGAATGCAATTTTAGCTCAAGTACCAATTTTACAAGGAGTACTCCGGCCTGCGTGTATAAGTCAGTCGTCGTGCTCGTTTTTCGGCCCCTGAGTGTGCAATTTGCTGAGAGTGTGCTTCTGATGCAACGAGGTAGATGGTCCAACGGCAGAGAAGCACATCGTTCGGACGTGAAATAAAACGTCAGAGGTCTGACACCGTCACATACTGCTTGGCATAACTGACAGAGCATTCACTATGTCGGGCATTTCATTGCACTGACCACTGATCTCTTTGCTCCGTAGACCTTAACCGCACAGTCTTGCCAGCCCTAGCTCCTGTGGCAGCACCCTCATCCACTGCGGCAATCCCATTAACAAACACGAATCTGATACCACTAGCAGGCTGCTTGGGATTCGCATATGTGGCCACATCGCTCACGCTCTCGGGGTTGAAAAGAACCAGATCCGCTCTCAAACCTTCCCTCACTAACCCTCGATCTCGCATCCGAATGACATTCGCAGCACGGCCAGTGATGTGGGCCACAGCTTCTTCTAGACCGCCATCAAAAACCGTTTCCGGCTCGACTTCATCATACGACTCACTGCTGGATGCGTGGTAAATATTTCTCTCCTTTCCAACTGCCAAGTCACGGGCATAATGTCCCAGATATCTCGGAAAAGTTCCCCATCCCCTGGGATGAGGCTTTGTTGAGGTGAGAATTCCATCAGAACCTCCTGTATGGCGAGGATGGCGCATGACCAAGCGGACGTTAGACTCGTGGCCTGTGTGCGACAGGATCGTGCTGTTGAAGTTGTCCTGCTTCAGGATATCGATGTAGACATCGAAGGGATCCTGCCCCTTTTCTAACGCTATCTGCGAAATTGTCTTGCCGACATATTGAGAAGCCAAGGAAGCATTCTGCACACCTCCGATCTCGATCAAGTCCCAGTGCAGAACACATCCATGGCATCCGTCTGTTCCCTGGAGCAAAGCGAGATCTTTGATCTTTGCTAGCTGTGCCGGATCATCGAGTATAGCAAGAGGATCGTCTGCTGAAGCCACCCAGCTCGGCAGAGTTGATGCCAAAGTGGTAGATCCGGCCAAGTATGGATATGTGTCCAGGGTGATGTCAACACCCAAAGAGATTGCAGCATCGATCATATCTATTAATTCATTGGCTCGCCCGGTGTTTTCTTCATAATTCATCGTGGCATGTGTCAAATGTAGGCGAACTCCAGTCTTCTTGGCCAGTTCAATCATCTCGGCGTACGCTTGCAAAGCACCTTTGCCATAAGATCTAGTGTGTGGACAGTAGTATCCTCCATACCTCACCACTACTTCGCACAGCTGTGCAATCTCATCGTCCGGCGCGAACATACCAGGCACATATGTCAACCCGGAGCTCATACCCACAGCACCTTCTTCGAACGACTTGGCCAGAAGCACTTTCATAGCATCGATCTCATCCTGGGTTGCCGGGCTGGAGTCCCAACCTTTGACGAGGATTCGCAAGTTTCCTTGGGGCACAAGATATGCTGCATTTGTTGCTATTCGCTCTCGATCTAAGACATCCAGATACTGTCCGACGGTCCTCCATCGATCGAAGAAATCAGGGGGATCTGATGGATTTCCGTTCCAGCCAGAAATCTGCTCTCGAATTCGCCCTATAGTTTGATCGTTGATTGGACTGTATGAGATTCCATCTTGTCCGATGACTTCCGTGGTAACACCTTGGGTGATTTTGGCATCATGTGTAGGCGTGTGGAGGAGCGAAAGATCCGAATGGGCATGCATATCAATGAAACCGGGACACAGTGCCCATCGTCCATTCTCGCAGTCAATGATGCGGGTTTGGCTTTTTCTTGCTATCTCAAGGTCGGAGGGTGTGTACGAGTTGTGACCTTTTCGTATTGAAACGATACGGCCATCACCAATGGCAACGCTCGCAACGAAGCGCTGTACATCGCCGGAGCCATCTATGACAGTGGTGTTGAGGAAGATGACGCTCATTGCTGCTGCGTAGGCTGGAAAGGTGTTTGAAAAGGTGAGGGCAGATAGACTTGTGACGATAGACCAGACAATGTATGAAGCTCGATAAGGCGCAGCCATAGGCTACCGAGGTGTCGCGATGTCGGGCAAGCTTACGCCTACGTTGCCCGGGTCAGTCGTACACATTTCAATACGTTTGTTAGCTCTACGAAGCAGACACCAGGTGCAGATAAACGGAGCGATGGGAAGAGTTCCGGTCCTGATTGCTCAAAAGAAGGGAAGCAACATACACCGAAGAAATCGAGCGATCCAACTTTAGATACCAGCGCCATTCCGATGATTGCCATCGTATGTGGGTATTAGACAGCGGAGGAAGAAGTTCGATGAATAGAGAAGACATACGCTCAATCCAACTGATTTCCAGGTCATCTCACCGTTCCATTCCATACAGCCTCAATCAGAGTCGACCGCCTCTAAGAGCGCCCTAGAAGCCTCCCTAGAAGCCTCCCTAGAAGCCTTCACTTCCTTATCAAAACATTGAGGGCATGWTCCCAATTCGACGAAAGCATTCGTTCTGTACGCCTTCAAGCTGTTCGAAGTTTAAGATCAGCATAGATTCYAACTACGGCACGAAGAACCAACAGCTACTCACCACTTTTGAGGCAGAATCGTGGCCCATGGTCCAGCGGTATTGCAAAGAACGGTCTTATTGACTATGTGTCCGCATTTCTGGTAGGTGGTACTATCCTTGTGGCACATGGTGGGTGGCTCAGGCAGTCTAGTTGTGAGCGTATGTTCAAATGTTTTCCCTCGTGTCTGATGCGACATGTGTTAGTGTCTGTAGCATTCATCTGTTGGTAGCTGGTATGTATACCTTCTGTGGAGGTTAGACCGAGTGTTTTTACCTGCGAAGATGTTGAGAATAGGAATCGTTGCATTGCGATTAGCACAGCTTGATTAAGTACTAAAAGATGTGARCATAGAGCAAATGCATTGGGAGAGCAAACGGTCGAATGAGTAGAATGCCTGCCTCGAAGCTTCTTGTTTGACTAGAGTCATCAAGCCTCAATGCTTGCGGCAATCAGCAACTGGCATCGCGTTGCTCGCAAACATTGGACCTACCTCGTGAAAGGAATCTGTCGTCGAGGACTCAGCGCATCTTGGTCCTATCAATGATCCCATGACTTGTCGATTCCAATACCAGCCCGACTCACCAAGATATCGGTCTTGATACAACGCTCCACCCCGGCCCAGAGAGTGGTCATTCTACCAAGTTCCTGTCAAAGCCAGATGTACATTACTTCTTTCTATAGCCAGCTATAGCTTCGATCCACCCGGAGGCAAAATCTCAATATCTCTAAACGGCACTCCCAAGAACTGATAAATGAAATGAAATCTGTCATCAAAGTCAGCCCACACTCACACAGACATCTTCATCTTCATCTTCATCTGCAATCCAATCCACTCACCGATCCGACCCAAAGAAAGGCTCCTCAACACCCTCCTTATTCGTCACAAACCACCACGGAGCACCAAACCCACCCTTCTTCAYAACCATAGCAGTCTCATCATTCAACTTCTGCTTATAGACCGGATCAGTGCCCGCCTTGACAATTTTTTGCACATCCGAAGCCTCGAAATGTCTAGCGAGACATTCAGCCAAGACATCCGGTTTGGAGATATCTTTGTGTTCCTGCCATAGGAATACCCAAAGCTCCAGGAAAGCATCTTCGTATTGGTTGTAAGGGTAGTGGTCCTTTGTGTACAACATGCATCGCATGGGCTAGAGGATCAATCAGCAATGATTATCAGAAAAAAAGGCACAACGTCAACAAGAATCGTACGAGAAGAGACATGATGGGAAAGAATGGAGGCGCCGAGATTTTTGGACTGTTGAAGTATTTCAATCCACGTGGCATTTCATAGTTTCCCAATGCGGCCTTTGCGGGAAGAGTCCAGGGTGGTTTATTCCCACTGCCAACATTGACACCCCCGAGAAAGACGGGGTGGACTTCGATGTCGACTTTGTGCTGTTGCAGAGCTGGTCTCTCTTTTCGGAGCTTTTGAAGTGCCAGGTAGGACCAGGGTGAGTCTTTTATCGATGAGTTAGATCGGAATGTTGGACTCGGGGATGGCGATGGCACTTACTGCAGTCAAGCCATACGTCAATCTTGCCACCAGCTCCCATGTTTTCTGCGTTTGGGCAATGAAACCGTGATGGAAGTGATGATGAAGGTGATTATTCCAGTCTCGAAGGTGATGTTGAATGCTTTTGACCTCGCGAATTCTTGCCTCGGCTTCCATGTGATCACTCATCCACCGAGAGTCTATGTTACAGTAGAAGACATACAGTACAACTGGCCACATCGATCAACTGATTAGATTCTTGTAATTCTATACAGATAATACTACATGTTGATCGTCATCTGGTCATGGTCGCTCAACTTTCTTCGCCCTGCCATTCCAAACCTCGACGGCATTCGCAAACATCTCCCTTGCATCGACTTTGCTCTTCAACCTAGCACATAGCAAAAATGCACCGCTGAGTTTGYGATGAAGACTATACGTCTCTTCAGGCGGCGGCGCAAGTCTTTCCTTCAACATGAGCCCAATATTGGCCCGTACTCGATCTGTGATTGTTTGATCCTCAAAATCATAAGTTTTCGGTGCGCTTTCCAAAAATGGCTCTGCCAGTGTCAAGATCGAGTCCACGTGAGCTTTGAGCATTTCATTGCTCTCCCTCCCGGTCAAATAGCCAAGCTCGATGGACAGCCTGGCGCAGCTGTCTCGATCGCCCTTGGAAGCTGCAATGAGCAGTGCGACGTAAGGCTCTACAAACTCATCGGGAAAGTCGCGACTGGCGCCAAAGTCCAACAACTCAAGCTTCTTCGTCTGGCGATTGTACAAGAAGTTAGTCCAGTTCGGATCCGTTTGCATGAATCGCCATTCCATCAGTTCTCGCAGGCATAGCCGTAAGATCTGTGTGCCAATCCAGTCGCGTTCGGCCTGCGTCAGGTTTGGAATTTTGGTCACGCCTGTGCCGTGCATGAACTCCGCCGTGAGTACGTCCATACCACTCGCTTCCGTGTACACTTTCGGCACAAGGAAGATGTCTTTCTCATCCCCAAGTAGTTCCTCCTTGAAGCGAATGCAGGCCTTGGCTTCTCGCTCGTAATCGCACTCCCAGCCAAGCTCAGTGCGAGCGTTGGCAATGGTCTTGTCAAGGAACAACCCCTTGGGCAACAGCTGGCTGGCTGTAAGAAGCAGGGACAGATTGTTCAGATCAGAGTCGATGCTGCTTCGCACGCCTGGATACTGAATCTTGACCGCGACTTGCTTCCCATTAGATTTGAGAGTAGCCTTGTGAACTTGGCCGATTGAAGCCGCTGCGAAAGGCTTCTCTTCGAATGAAGTGAAAAGCTCTCGCCAGTCTTGTCCAAGGTTTGATATCAGCACTTGATCGCGTTGCGAGGAAGGCATGTAGTCGGCACTATCTTGCACTCGTTGTAGGATGGTGTTGATAGTCGGCGGCAGAACTTTCGAGTCTTGAAAGCTGATCATTTGCCCGAGCTTCAAGGCCGCGCCTCGCATCCGACTCAACTTTGCGACGAGACGATTGATGTTGCCTTCGCTCAGCATCAAGCTGCCCGAGCTGCCACTTCCTGACAAACGTCGAAAGCTCTCTCCCACAGCACCAAATGCCATGCTAGTCGCTAGCCCGCTGTATTGCCAAAGGCGTCCGAATCGCGTCGAAGGCACCCGAGATTCGTGCATTTCGTTTGGTTTCACATCCTCTGCTGGAACATCTTCACTGTTTGCATTTTGTACATCTTTCGCTAAGGAACTTGCAAGATCCTGCATTTCTGCTTCGCTGGTGGCTGGTTCCGCAGTCGGCGCATTGCCCATCGGCTCTGGAACTTTGATCTTCACGTCGCTTTCGTGCTTCCATCGCTCCGAGGCTCGAACCATTTCCGGTAGCGGCTGCGGTGGAAGCTTCTGTCGCTTGGTGCCATATGGGTTCTTCCTATAGGAGGCCGTCTGTCCAAGCATCTGGGACACTTTTGGACTGTGGAACAAATCGGTTGTGATGCCTTCAGGCATTGCTTCTACCGCCTCTGCGGGTGATGGGAACACATCCTGATTCAGCTCGCTTCTGGGTGTGGTGTCTCCAGGCGCAGCCTGTTCAGCGTGCTCTGGCAGCCTCGCCTGTGACAGCGTTGAGAGATTGGGCGAGACAGAATGTGACCTTTCATTGAACGTGTCTCTGCCCGCATGTGCTGTATTGCCAGCCTGTTCATCCGCAGCGGAGCCTGGTATCTGTTCCCGCTGCTGTCCATCTTGCTTTCGCAGTGAAGCCAACGTCCCATCATCTTCTTGCTGTCCACCTGCTGAGAACACCCGTGAATCCAAGCCCACCTGCTCTGCTGCCGTCGGCGTCTGATGTACCGTCTGGTGTGTTTCTGCCTTGATCCAGTCATTCCCACTCGGTGCTCTTCCGCCTTGTTCACCTCCCCTCGCCGCCTGTTGTCCTTCTTGCCACGCCGGACTCGGTCCACTGAATCGCTTAGCGAGTTCTACAGCAGCTCCAACCGTGACCGTCACTCGATCCGTCTGATTCTTGACCGCTTTGGCCAAGCCAGATGTGCGAGTGAGCAGCTGCCATTGATCCTTGCGAATGGAAATGTGCTGCTTGGTGACTGCTCGACCGGCGCTGAAAAGCTTGGCTGCATCCAGCAGACGTTTGCCTGCCATTTACATGGATATCAGGCTTGTATAAATTGTGTCATGACATGGACTGGAGGTGTGAGAAGAGGAAATTATTGATGAGCTCATTGCAAACGGAATTCCCAAAACACGAATCACTTCTCACGCGTCACCACCTCGACGCCATGCTGATGATCAGAAGTACTGGAACTTGGAATTACAACATATCATTGACTTGAACATTATCATTCAATTCCATCACTTTCATCATAGCATACCCTCTAAAACTTGCTTCTCAGGCTCTTGTCAACCAATGCCATTCCTCCCTCCTTGATCTCATAATGTCGTCCCCGGGCCCAGCCCATCCACTGCGCGAGCACCTCCTCGCCCCCCTCGCCAGGTCTAAGCCCATTCGAAGTCCATCCGTTGCCTTCCACGCCGATTCCCGAGCCAGTCGTAGGGTCTCTACCATCTGCAACACCCTCGGTAATCGCTAACCCAGGCGACGACTTCAACGTCACGATAGGTCTCTGGTCGAAGCCACCCTTCTCTAGGTCATCTTGCGTTAAAACAGGTGTCACGCAAGCGTCGGTTCCATCGTAAATCTTCTCCCACTCAGCCCTCGTCTTGCTTTTGAAGAGTTTTGTAAAAGCAGTCTTTTGCTGCGGCCAAGTCTCCTTCTCCAACCTGTTCTTAGGCCATTGTCCATCATTCGGGTCGATTCCCAAACCCTTGAGTAGTACAGAGTAGAACTGAGGTTCTAGCGCGCCCACTGCCATGTATTTTTCATCCTTTGTCTCGTATGTATCGTAATAAGGTGCTCCGCCATCCAGAGTATTGGTACCACGAGGAGAATCCCACATGGGCTTTCTGGTGAGCATACGGGGCATCGAAGCCAAATGAGCAGAGCCATCAACCATGTTAGCTTCCACGACTTGTCCCAAACCAGTATTATGTCGGTTGAGCAATGCAAGGACAATGCCCATGAAGCACACAGCTCCTCCACCAGCAAAGTCTCCCACAATGTTGGCTGGGGAATATGGCTTGTCGCCCGCTCTTCCCAACATGCTCAACACACCCGAGACTGCGATATAGTTGATATCATGACCTGCCATATCCTTGTACTTGCCATCTCGTCGGAAACCCGTCATTCTTGCGACAATCACTCTTCGGTCTATCTGCTGCAGAACATTCGGACCTAGACCCATCTTCTCCAAGACGCCAGGTCGGAATGGATCTATCACAACATCGACTCGCGGTATAAGGGCCTTTATCAAGGCAATGCCTTCCGGCGTCTTGGTGTTCACGGTAATGGAGTCCTTATGGCGCGTCAATCCATCGTTGGTCGGCGGAGGTGGCTTTTCTGTAAAGGCCTGAGGGTGGGCGCGATCTACACGAAGGACTTTGGCTCCATAGTCGGCACATAGCATACCAGCATACGGACCTGTGCAGCTGTCAGAACAGCTCTCTCCAAAAAGTTATGCCACGCTTGGGTGCTTGTAGCTTACCTGGTGCTAGTCCGGCGAACTCAAGCACGCGAATGCCTGTCAATGGAGGTGATTGTGACATGTTTGAGTGTAAAGGAGATTCAGCGACACACTTCACGACTTACCAGAGATTTACTTGTTGCGTTCGAACTGTCAGTGAAGAGACGCCCTCGGAAATAAGGATAGCCTCGGGAGCTTGAGACCGGCATGCTCTCGAAGCTGGGGAAGCAAGAGGAGGGGAACCCTGTGCTATGCTCTCGGCCCGCTGTGGGGACTTGTGGAGGTGAAACCTTGGAAGACTCGGAGAACCTCATCCTCATCGTGTTATGTTCTCGGCCCGAGAGACATGAACTACTTTATCCTTTGCATCAAAGCGTGGCCACTGAAGAGGAGGACATGTCATGACAACCATCGTTCAGAGCGTCAAGGAACCCGGTGATTGACCAGTATCTCTGATGCCTCAATGGCTTCAAGGACCAAAGGAAATTTCTCGCATGATCAATTTGTATTGCTGAACAGTTATATGTATCCTTCCCAGCACGGATCACCAGAGCCATAGAGGACTGGATTTTGTCCAGCCCCGATCACATGTGGGAAGTGCCCAATGCGTGCTCAGTAGCTAAAAGAATGGACAGGCAGATACTATTCAGCCAAATGGAAACAAATTCGCATCCCAAACAAGCGGCAATGCATGTTGAATGCCCGCAAAACCCCCCAACCCAGAGCTCATCAAACAGAAATCTTCTCATCATTCACATGCACGACCACGGCATGGCCATTCTTTTTCGCGGCCTTGGACTTGCGATGTCTCTTGACAGCCTTCCAGCTTTCGACCAAAGCGATGAAGAGAAAGATACTTCCAGCCACGAGTCCCCATTCCCAAGTGAGCGGCAAGTGTCGGAAGACAACGCGGTTCACCGTGGGGATGTAAATGATGGGGAAGGGCGTGACGAGACCAGCCATGACCGCCCAGAAGAGGAAGCGGTTCTTGGTAACCGTCGAGAAGAAAGAGAGGCCCTTGCGTGAGTCTTCTGCCGGGTACATGTTGAATAGGGACAAGTCCAGATGTTTGGCCTCCCATGCCATGACGGACAGGAGCACGGTCAGGATGCTGTAGGCAGTACCACGGGCGCGGTATGGCAGATCGCACGATTCATCTAGAATGTGTTAGTCAAAGTAGAATTCTTCTAATCCGTTGTTAGGGAAGACTTACTGTAGTTGTGGTTGCAATCCTGGCCAAGATTGCCGTCGCCAACGCCGAACGCGACGATGCAGTAGCTTGCCAAGCACAAACAGCCCATGAAGGTGCCGTAGATGAACTTGTCAATGATGAGTTCTCGAGTGAAGATGCCGCGAGTGGGAGGCGGCCTTAACATCACATCTGCAGACGCCTCCTCAAGTCCGAGGCCAATAGCCAAGAAACTGCTGCTAACAAGGTTTGCGAACAGGATCTCCAACGGCGACAGTGGGAACACCGAAACTCCATTGTTGTCCTTGAAAGCGAGACCAACCAGCAGGAGGATGACCTGTGCGATATTGGAGATGRGCAGATGCAAGAGGAATTTGCGAATGTTGTCGAACAGCCGGCGGCCCTCGCGGATGGCGGAAACGATCGAGGCAAAATTGTCGTCTGTGAGAACCATGTCGGCAGCCTCCTTGGAGACGTCGGAGCCGTTCAGACCCATGGCGACTCCAACATCCGCTCCTTTCAGAGCAGGAGAGTCGTTGACGCCATCGCCAGTCATGACACAATACTTGCCCTTACGGTGCAGAGCGTCCAGCATGCGAAGCTTTGWTGTTGGACTACAACGAGCCAAGACGAATGGCAAGGTCTCCATTTGATCCAGCTCAGCATCGCTCATTTTGTCAAAGACTGATGCAGTCATTACGGCGGTAGGTATGGAAGAGCCAATGACGTGTGGACCCAAGATACCAATCTCGCGGGCGATTGTCGTGGCGGTCTTTAGATGGTCTCCAGTCAGCATGTGAACCGTGATACCTGCAGTCTGACACTGGCGGATGGCACTGGCGGACTCTAGACGAGGAGGGTCGTAGATACCGACCAAGCCCGCGAATGTGAGTTGCTGTTCAACAAAGGCGCGATCAAAGACATGCTCAGTGTCCTCATTAGAAAGAGTCCGATACGCCAGACAGAGCACTCGAAGACCCTCCTCGGCCATGGAGTCCGCTTGAGCTGCAATGACTTTGGCAGTAGCCTCGTTGATGTTCATCAGTGGCAATAGAACCTCAGTAGCACCCTTTGTGAGGGCAACTACTTCTTCGCTCTGATACACGGCCGACATGCGCTTCACCGCGGAGTCGAAAGAATGTTCCGTCAGTAGCCTGAAGCCATCTCTGGCGACAGTATCCTGCTTGCTGCACTCTGCACGCATGGCCATTACATGGAGGGCGATCTCGGTAGGCTCGCCCGTTGCAGTCCAGTGAGCTTTTGTTCCATGAGGAGCAGTTACGGTAGACACATTGCAGAGTGACATGATCTGGAAGGCGCGTCTGAGCTCGACATCGTTGGCGACATCGTTAGCCCAAACTTTGCGACCTTCGAGTGTCAATTCACCGGCAGTCGGATCCAGTGGGTTTGACTCGTTGTGAWCCTGAAGAAATCGTCCGCTGGGGAGAAATGCCTTTCTCGCCATCATCTTGCCCTGAGTCAGCGTTCCTGTCTTGTCAGAGCAGATGTTGGTGACGCCTCCAATCGCTTCAAGCGCTCCCATTTTCCTCACGATCACGTTGCCTTTAGCCATAGCCTTTGAGCCAACCGCCATTGTGATGGTCAGCACAGCAATCAGGGATTCTGGGATCACTGCCACCGCGACACAGATACCATAGATCAAAGTTTCGTCATCGATATCCCACAGATTGACCGAAAAGACGATAATCGCCAGAAGGATAGCCAGACCGAAGAGGAACAGGGCGAACCAGGACAGTTTCACTTGGAGAGGCGTGCCGATTAGTCCCAGAGCGCTCTTGATTCCGTGAAGTGCTCGTTTGCCGAAACGCTTGTACCAAGGACCGGTAGATACCTCCTTCTTGTCTCGAAGAAGGAGCGCAATGTTGCCGATCTCAGTATTCATACCGGTGGCGACAACGATACCCACACCTCTGCCGCGAACGACAGTCGTAGATGAGTATGCGATGTTGATCCGGTCACCAAGAGGGGTGTCAGCTTTGTCCGAGAGATATGACGAGTCCTTGACTGATGGTTTCGATTCTCCAGTAAGAAGCGCTTCGTCATTTGCGAAGTTGATGCTGCTGGCCAAGCGGACATCAGCCGGGACAATGTCACCAATGCCGAGTTGGACAATGTCACCAGGAACCAATTGGTCTGCTTTGATGGTGAGGAGGTTTCCCTTATCTCTTACCACCTTGCAGACAGGCGCTGCCATTGCGAGAAGGGTAGCAATAGTCTGTGGTACTGTTAGCRATTTGCTGCGTAATTTTTGATGCTTCATAAATTTGAAGACGAACCTGCTCAGCACGGTAATCCTGCAAGAACCCAACGACAACGTTCAAGACGATGACTGCAGTGATGACACCCCCTTCAATGTAGTCGTTGGTGCCGAAGCTGAGGGCCATGGCAATGACCAGTACCAAGGTCAAGCTGTTGGAAACTTGTCSGAGGAGGATCCTCCACCAAATAACGCTTCCAGAGGTCTCCAGCTTGTTCGGGCCGTATTGCTCGTGACGACGGGCTACCTCTTCGGTCGTCAAGCCATCCCTTTTTCCACGTTAATTTCAATGCTCTGTGAAAGAGAAAATTGACACGTACTGAATGTTGGACCCAAGAAGGGCTGCGACACTGTCACAAGACAAAGTGTGAGCATGAGCATGAATATCAGTTCCATCTTTGATGTCGACAGAAGTGATTGATGAGTTGGTGGTTGTATAGCGGGCTCCGTCCGCGTCCTTTTCATTCTTCAAGAGAACAGACGCGATGGACGAGCCCGCGCTCGGTATAGGCGGTTCGTCGACATTTCCGCTGTCATCCGGAGATGGCACGCCGCCAGCGTGCTCTTGATGATGCGCTTCGACATCGCAAGTGGAGGTGGCAGAAGATTTTTCCATCAATTAACAAGCGTGGAGCCTTTCGTGGAAGGATCGTGTGTTGGGGAGAAGAAGGAGAAGAAGAGAAGTGGTCGGATATAAAGATGGGGGAGGGGAAGGTTGCTTGTGGGTGGAGCGGAATGTGTCACGCCACTGGAGTAGCTAAGTAGCCAAGAACCAAGAGCTTGACGCCAGGACCAAGAGCTTCCATGCCATTTTATTTGGTAGGTATTTACCTTACCTTACACAAAGGATTCGTGATTCGAGACGTGGCGGCGCATAAAGCATCGGTCGCACTGAAGATAAGGATCTCTGCAAGGGTGAGCATCAGCGGAAAGAGTAGAGGACACTGTCATAAGAAGATCCATCTCTACTTTCTGAACAATACGCAGTAGCGGATGGATATCATAGGTGAAGTTATCTTCCAAGCCTGCAAGGCGGGAGTTTGGAGTGAGGCTGAGGTTTGCGCTAGGCTGAATGCGTCGGAGCACGTGTCATGAGAGGTTCTAGCGTCATTCCATGCGATGACATTGTCCCGAGACTGAGACACCAGACGGGACCAAGACCGGCGACAATGACAACGACAACATATCATCTTGCGCTCGTCCACTCCATCCATCAATGTGTCATCTGAAAAGCACTGCTCGCTGTTCACAGAGAGTAAGCCCAGCTCAACTGGGTCCTTCCGGATAGAAAAGAAAAGATAGGCGGTACCACCGTACCAAGCCTTACTTCCCTCGGTGACACCAGTCCACGATACTCTTGCCGCGACAATCGGCCACTTCTAAGGTAGCTTTCCCTCTCCATGCCACGGGACCGGCGGAGTTCAACGCTGCGTACAGTACCATGATTCGCCCAAAGTCTTATGTCTCTCGACTTCATGGAACGGCGACAATAGCCGTGCGGTATCGCGGCGGTCCTTTCATCAAGGCACAGCCACCACTTCCACGAGGTTCCATGCCAGTGCATAGAATCGTACCGTGGCTTTGCGTTGTTACAGGATAAATCCTCTTGTTTGGTGGGAGATGTAGGCTGCCTGGCTTCGCCTCCGGTTTTTGAGCCAAGGCTGATGGATTCTCTGACTCGACTCATCAATGATGATATTCTTCACAGTAGTTCTTTCCTGATGGGAGACGAAGCTCGAAATCCCAATCTTTCCTCCAAGATAGCAGCGAAACTCCTATCAAGTGGTCCCAAGTCTGCTCAACACCAACAAGTTCTATGTTGTATCAGGCTAGGTACTGAATGGTAATACTGTGGTAATTGAGGGGGCTCTGATTGATTGATACCTCTGACTTTCGGTATTGAATCAACGGCTTGATGCTTACTTCAATCCATCTCGTCGTCTTTGAGGGTATAGCCTTGATGCCAAAGTTGAGAAATATAACCCACGCTGCTTTTCATCGCATACAATCTAGTCATCAAACCCGTCTACAACGCCACATTTCACCTAATAGACAGTTCCATCGGGTCTAACACCGTGCTTCGATTTCCCACTAGCGTGCGAGTGGCCGCTGTGGGAGTCAACACGTCCAAGTCGGCCGTGTTCGTGATCAGGCTGCGTCTCCACAGCGTCCCCTCCTACTTCCTCCCAATCGGGGAATCCATCGTCGAAAAGGTCGGCAAGTTCTTCGTTTTTTGCATCATGAGATGCCTTGTCCCCGGCGTTCGGACCTTCTCCTTTTGCCATAATAGCCTGCCACTGATCCCACTCCTCATCGTTTAGCAAGCACTCATCCAGCACAGCTTCGATCGCAGGGATATCAAGCTTCTCTCCAATGAAGACCAACTCTTGTCTTCTATCTCCGTACAGACCACCAGATTTGATGTCATGATCGACAAGCTCGTCAATCTCTTTGATACCACTTTCCCATTCGGAGCGTGGAATTGTGCAGAACCATTGTCGACCGCCAGACAACGTCAACATCGCTCCTGCCTGTGACCATTCTTTGACACATTAGTATGGAATCATGAAACGACTCTTTCAGACTTACCGCCAGCTCGACCAGGACGGGTGGCGAGGAAGTACTCTCCCTTGGAACGGAACAGACGGGAAAACAGTGGGTGGGCTCGTTTGTTGGCCAGAATCACATCCGAGTCTGGAAGCTCAAGAGGGTCTTCCATGTCTACATCCTCATCCTCATTTTCATCCTCATCCTCATCATCGTCCATGTCCTCGTCTTCAGAAGCATCCTCATCTCCTTCCTCGTCTTCTTCTTCGAAAGGATGCTGTAGGATGAACTTGTCATGTAGAAGAGCAAAAAGTCTCCGGGGATGAAATGGCCGTCTACGCACGTAGATGAAGTTTCGGACATTATACTCCTCTGTCTCTGGTTTTGGCGTCACTGGAGCAGTCAGTAATCATGACTTGCATCGAAGGCTGTTGGATAGTAACGACTCACCCATTTTCTTCCCATTGACTTCTCGCAATGTCATGGCGTGAAGGTCCTGCAGCCAGCCGGAACCTGTCTGGGCGACTTCGAGATTGAACATGCCCGTGTTCACAATATCTCTCACCTCGATCTTACCATAGCTGCTCTCAATAACCTTGGCTCTGTGATTGAGCTTCTTGGTTAAACTCAGCACGCGGTTCCTCTGCTCTTTGGAAACCATATCAATCTTGTTGAGTACGATGACATCCGCAAACTCAATCTGATCAACCATCAGATCGCTAACAGTCCTCTCATCCTCAGGGGTAACATCGTTACGACGAGCAGAAAGCAAGTCAGCTGTCTCAAAGTCATGAAAGACTGTAAAGGCATCAATCACAGTGCATGTGGTATCCAAGCGTGCAAACTTATCAAGACCTCCGGCTTCCTTGATCCTAGTAAGACTGGCAAGCGTCGCTTCGTCAAGTCCCTCTGGTCCCTCTCCCATTGCGGAAATTTGTTCGGCTAGACGTTCATCGAATGTTTCCGCGACCTGTTCCGGCTCACTGATGCCACTGCTTTCCACAATGATGTAGTCAAACTCTGCGAGTTCTGCCAGACGTACGAGCTCTTCGAGGAGATCTCCACGGAGCGTGCAGCAGATACAGCCATTTGCAAGGGACTTTGAAGACTTGTGTCAGCGTTGGAGCAAATTCCTGGAGACTCATTTATACCTACAATGACTTTCTCCTCTGTCTTGGTCAGGCGATGAGTTCCACGAATGAGATTCGCATCAACGTTCACCCTAGAAGCATGTGAGTACTGGCGGCATCCTTACGATCTGTTGACTCACTCTCCGATATCATTGACGATCACAGCGATACGAAGGCCATGTTCGCTCCGTAGAATATGCTGCAAAAGTGTTGTCTTTCCACTCCCCTAGCTCTCTTTCAGTAAATTTCACAAACATTGTTGGAAGAGCACCTTACGAGAAAACCTGACAGCAATGTGACTGGCAATGCCTTCACCGGAGCCGGTGCTTCTTTGCGGGATCTTGTCAATCTGGTGTTCTTGAACGCACYATTGCTCTTAGCTGTGAACTTCGAATTTGCCATTGTTGTGTTTGTGAGAGGCTATGGATGGAGTAGAACTGCCGCAACGAGAATTGAAAAGATTCGAAAAACTGTGTGTGAGTTTGCATAACAATCACCTCAATGGATGACTTGGATGGACTGATGTAGGCTTCGATGGGTGTGGTCTATGCTTCATATCACTCCTGCTCATGGCTTTTTTCTCCCCTCGAATCAGACACCGTACAGACCATCAAGGTCTGGAATAAGAGCCGGTAAGAACATGCTTCCTCGGTCGATGTTCCGACAATCGGACAAGCAAATGGCAGAGCTTGGAGTCGCTGAGAAGCATGTCCTTATCGTTGAAGCTATGTTCGTCGCTTCGATCTGGGATGATTCCAACTCTTCGCAAGGTGTCCGCCGTGCAGCTCTCTTACGGACAGACAGGCCGACCATCGATATGTTTCAAATCCTCCAGGGAACCAAACGCCTAATCTTTTATCTTGATCAATCGTAGCTTCTCGTCTAAAATTACTTGACATTGATGTGTATGCAAGCCAATCTAAGTGTTTTATCGCTCAGACAGACATCAGGGAGAGTATTAGGACATATAGCAACCGACCGACAACTACTGCGAACAGCAAAGACTCCCAACGTAAGGACTTCTTGCACAATTCTTGACTGCATTGGATTAGATGCGGTCGATTGCACCAATCATAAATGAGCTGTAATCAGCATTGGCCATCCATTCACAAATTAAGTTTTACTCATCACCATCAAGGTGCTCGTCAAGCTTCTCCATCAAGGTCCAGCTTGTGTCCCTCTTCCACGTACTCCGCGGAGGCTAAAGTCTGTCCGGCCTTGGCAACTTCATGTTTATATTGACCACTTTCAAAAGGTGTTGTTAACAGCCATATCTAGTGTTCCTTGTATCTATTGCTATAGGGTGGATTAGCTAATGCTACTCCACGATATAGGCCCTTAAAGTATCGAATATTATAGCGTTCTCGTGCTTTAGCATTAAATCCCTTATAATTATACTAAATTAACTCTATCTATTGCTTAGCTTCAGCCTATATTATACTACTTACTAAGGTAATATAGAACCTAAAGTCCTCTATAATATGCTTCTCGTCGCCGTAAAGAGGCTTAATAAGGTAGAGGTCTAGTAAGTTTAGTAGCTAGTCGATAAATTAAATCCCTAGCCTCTTAATCTCGTTAGCTATTAGCCTCCTTACTTTATAATAAAGAGCTACGTTGTCTTTAGTTATATACACTATATAGTATAGATTACGACGTTATAGTTCCTATACGTAAGGGAATAGCTTCTTTATATAGATCCCGAAAGCGTACTAGACGAAATTAATACCTCCTTTACCGTAATTACGCTCTAGCTTTTTATAGGGAAACAACCGAGCTAGAGTAACCTTATATTTAAAGCCTTTTAGAATACTACCTTTGCCGTTCTCTTTTAGAGGTAGTACTATATTATTAAGCTAGATTTAATCGTTTATTAACCGTAGGAGTGTCTATTTAGGGCTATGTTCTTTATAATAGCGTTATCGTTAATTATCTACTACATCCTTTAACCGTTACTTCTAAGCCTTTAACTTATCTATTAGAGTATTAGTATCTTTAAGCTCTTTACCGTTCTAAACCTTATAAGGTCGTCGTATACGTGTATTATAACACGTAGCGGCTTATTACATCTTTTTAAAACGAGGGTTTAACTAGTCTACGTATAGCCGTGTTCCCTTCGGTATAAGGACACGCTAAGGGCTAAGGGCCTCTCTAAAACTAATTAGTGTCTTATCGATAATAACGATAAGTATTGTCTCTAGATTAAGTAATTTAATAAACTCGTAATAGTGCTATTAAGCCTATAGGTCTAATTTTACGAGAGCTAGCTTCCTTTAAGTAACTAAGGGAATAATAGGCCTTTTATCGTAGCTATTACCCTTATAGTAAGCTTTGCCTTAAAGAATATTATATACCTATCGATTATCTAGTAGTTTAAGAGGTTCTCGAAGGCCTAAGAGTATACTATATCGAAGGGCCTTTACTACTCGATTAGCTGCCTTAACCTTATGTTGTTTATTATATATAGTCCTTGCTTTTTAACGTATCCGGTTAGATACTTATAATCTAGGCTAAACACGCTTCGGACGACTACTCCGTAGAGCGGCTTAATAATTAGTAATAAGTTAATATATTCCGGAGCCTATTATTCGCTTTTTAGTACGTTCCTATACTTTTCGAGCACTCTTAGCTATAACTCCTTTAATTCTCGACGTAATTTTAGGAAAAGAGATTTTATCGACAGCTCTATATTAGATAATTCGAACGCGCTTAAAGGGAGTTAATTACGACATATAGTTGTTATATTATCGCGTTATAAAGGTTGTGGTATTAGGGTAAACAAAGCTTAAAACACGCTAAGCGGACAGACTTTAGCCTCCGCGGAGTAGTCTTGCTATTACCGTTAATTACTTTTAAGTCCTGTTAGAGGGCTTCGAAGACGGACATCTTTGCGATGCAGCTCGGGATTTTTGTTCATCGGCATCCATTCCTTCACTTGACTGAGTTTACGCTAGTTGATTTTGAGGGTTAGGGTTGGGGTAGTGAGTGAGATGTTGGAGCAGTCGCTTTGCGTTGACTCTGCACCTGAACTCGGTCTGATTCAGGATCAGATGTTAAATGTAAGCCTTGCTAACGATGGACAGACTCACTGGTATCTTTGTAATATCTTGACGATCGTGGAAAACCTGTCGCCGATGTGCAAGTGTGAAAGTTCACAACGATATTGCTGCGTCAATGCATGCGGTAATTTTCACTCTCGGCTTGATGCTTATACGCCTCCGTATGATGTCGCATGAGACCTACTTCCTGCTCAGCAACTCATGCTCTGTTTATAAACTTCTCCTTTGCTACACCCATAACAGACGATATGTTACTAGCAGCCCATTCAGCTAAGACGAATGGCTTCCGTCCGTAAAGCATAGAATGGTAGAAGCTTGACCCGCTGGCCCGGGTCTTCTCATCCACCAGACGGAGTCAACTAGACCTGCACCGCCGCAGCCTCGTGTCAGATTCCATAACCTAGGAAGAAGGTCTTTGTATGAATATACATCTCAACCGCATACGACATAGACACTGCAGTCCAAAGTGCCATCCGTCTTTGTGTTTCGATCAGGTACGTTGAAAGGCTGGCAGTACAATTTTAAAGCAGGATGAACGGACAGTCACTGCGTGTAGTTGAGTCCTGCCAGGTCGAACGCATGTGTTGTCACTACTTGTTGTGTACGTACAACGACTCACATGCAGCGTCACCCCCATCCGGAACGTACGGAATCTGTGGCTGGTGACACGGCATGCGATCGCCTCGCAATCTATTCGACACTTATCCGCGCTTCGTTGTAAGGGACAACAGCCTATCGGCTTTTGTCAATGGACCTTTTCCAAGTGTTCATAGTCCGTCCTACCTCGTATGTATCGTCCTAAGACTATCCCAAAGCAACGTGGCCCGATTTCATAAGAAGCAGACTAACTTTCATACTATGCTCTCTTTCGCCATGCTGTGCAACCTCACTGATTGGAGCAACTCTACTATTACCTGACATGCAGTGGTGGACAGAAGTGGCCGGCATACTTGCACAGCTTTTCAGCTTGCTGCTACCGTCTGCACGATACGCAGATTTTGGAGAAAATGTCGTAGCTCTCACCAGCGTTGTGTACCTCAAGCCTGTCTTTGCCACGTCGCTGTAAGACGGAGGTCGGGTGCATCGGTAGGCAGCGAGCTTGATTCATCGCTGAATTGTCCCTACTTGGGAAGACAGCGTTCGAAGGTGATACGCAAGTAATCCTCCAAGCGGTCGCTAGAACTTCACAAAAGAATATTGAGCTTTCCGTCTAACGAAAGAAGGCAGATCACGTTGTTTCTCCAGCGACTTTATGTTTTACTTGAGAGAAAGCTGAGATGCGCGAATCTTCCTTTGTCCGCGACTCGCCATGGGAAGTTCCGAGATCTGAACGCTCAGGTCTAGGATCTTGCTCAATGTTAGTTTTGGTTGGGCAATAGCTGGTTGAGGTTCAAGATATCAACGGTTGATAAATATGAAGTTGTTCGGCGCAAACGTCAATGGAGCTGGTGCCGGCCATAATTGACGGTTAGCCTTGATTCTAGCAAAGCACWGAACCACAGGTCGTCAGCAATTCAAGGCGTTCGGACGTGACGAAGTCGTTGATGATCCGGTTTGAACGCATGTTATCCCGGCATTCCCGGTGCTGAGGTCTCGAAGGGAAGCAGTGCATCGTTTCACATGTCCACCCTTCTACGTCTGCCTCCTAGACGCATCGGAACGTCCATCTCGAGATAATGCTTGTCACATGTTGGGTCACCCTTAGCTTGAGATGTCCTCGTGATTTCCTGTTATACGGCTTTCAATGGTTCAACTCAGCGCTATTGGCCAGATCGTTTGATACAAGGTCCAGTTCCTTCAGCTACCGAGAGCGTTTGARAAGCCACTAAAGCTTGATGCAAGGCTTACACTATGTTTCCGGACATACGTTGAGCCCGACCAATATAGTGAGATTTGGTGCCATTGCAGTATTCGTGCTGCATGTAGCTGCAGAACGGGAATCCTAAAAAGAGATAGTCTGGTAAGCATGGCGAATTCGAGAACGAAGTAACCGCTTCGCGCTGCCTTACCACGACAGTATGACACCGCGCAGCGCAGGTACTCTGAAGATTCAACATCTGCATGCAATGAATTGCTGTAGCACATTGAGCTTCCGGGTGCATTGATTGATGATAATTCAGTCTGGTCCAATGAATGAGTGCTCGGGAGAACTCAAGCGGGCCTCCACCGACTTACATGTACTGCATACCAGCATTGCTTCGGTGGCGCTCATTATGGGCATGAAGTGCTTTCACGAGAATAGACATACCCAGGTCGCCATTGTGAATGACACTGGAAGGATTCAACTTCGGCGAGTGAGATTCTATGCGTTCGCTCCGAGGGTACCTCGTGGATACAGGTACCCAGCCGTTCGTCCCGTAGACTTGAAGGGTGATCTTCCTGGTTGCCTTGTATAGAAAAGTCTTTGATCTTGATTTCTTTTGGGTCACGACTGCACTGGAAAATGCAGGGCCCCGCGATCTCATTTCGAGCGGAGCAGATAGGTGCGGAGGTCGCGAGTCGTGATAGAAGAAAGGATAATGCAAAATCGCCAATGGAAATCGACATCGAGCTCGAGGCGCTTGCGGTAAGGGCAAGAGCAGTGGGGAAGTCCCTCGTGCAGTCAGATCTTGAAAGACTGTCCATGCAACTCCAGGATCTGGACGAGCCTCCGCCGAGACGATTCGGTCAGAACACCCTGAACAGTGTCCACAGCAATGCCAGCAGCGGTGCCAGTCGCAATGATGTTGAAACACTTCCGGAACTTTCAACATCCTACTGCTCAACGCCATCGAATGGAGAATTCATACCCCGAACGCCATCCAACCTGTCTCAGCTCACTGTAAATCATGCAGGCGTCAAAGCGTTGTCAGGAACTGGACGACCACGAACATCGAGTCCGCTGGTGACTGGCGTGAGTAGTGCAAACGAGTCCAACGTATCCAGTTCAGATAGACACAGCTCCCGGCGCTTGTCTCGACCATCGGAAGAGGAGCTCAAGCGTTTCACGACCAGCGATGGTTCGTATAGCGAGGCTCGAAGAAGACAACGCTCATCGAGCTTCTCAGCTGTGCAGCACAATCTTTATTCCACAGAAGCATCGAAGTTACAGCACAACCCAGAACTGGCCACTCGATGCCGTCGTGCCTCTCTGCCCAGTGTGATTGACCAAAGCGAGGCACTAACCTGGTTCGGGACGAGTCCCATACACCGTCGAGATATCAATTTGCCCGCTGGTATCCCTGCTTATCCCAAAAGGGTGGCTCCGAGGCGGCCCGAGGACGAGATCGAAACGATAGGAGGAGCCGAAGACGCGGTTGAGGATCAGAAATGTTTGCCTCAAAGTGACGAAAAGACATCAAGCAGCGATTCCTCGAAGGCCAGCGTTTGGAGTCGTGCAGCAGCGAGCATCGAGGCAACATACTACCCGTCGGAATCGCCTCCATTGATAATGCCCACGGGTCCCACAGACCTGGAAAAGACATTGTACCTCAAAACTAATCGGTTGGGTTTGTATTCTTTCGGTGTGTTTTCTTTCCTCAGCCTTTCAGTCGGTATGTGGCTGTTTGTCGTGTCTTCTGTAAGTTCCGTGCGGGGGGTTGATGGATCGATATATACTGACACCAGCAAGTCTGTGTTTTACTGGTTCGGCGCCGTGGTGTTCCTCCTTCAGCTCTACCTCATCATATCGTATACAGTCTCCATTTGCGGCAAGGACTACGATATTACCAAGCATCACCGTATTCTTGCCGAAAATCCCATCGATCCTCAGGGGATCGATTGCCCGTCGATAGATGTCTACCTCCCATGTTGCAAGGAACCAATTGAGATCCTCGAGAATACATACAAGCATATCCAGCAACTCCAATGGCCGGCCGGGAAGCTGAAAGTCTGGGTGCTCGACGATGGTGGTTCGGGAGCCGTGCAAACACTGGCGGGGTCGTACGGGTATAATTACATCTGCAGAGAAGATAGGCCGCGTTTGAAAAAGGCGGGAAATCTACGTTGGGCGTTTGCCAGGACCGAAGGCGACTTCTTTGCGATATTCGATGCTGTGAGCACGCATCCACCAGAGATTGCTCCATGGCGAATGGTTTGCTGACGCTTGCACGGCAGGATTTTTGCCCACGTCGTGACTTCCTCCACGAAATCATGCCGATTCACATCGCTCGTCCAGACACGGCCATTGTGCAGACACCTCAATTCTTCCGAACCTCTTCGGACCAGTCGTGGGTGGAACAAGGCGCCGGATCTGTGCAAGAGCTCTTCTATCGTGTTGTACAAATCAATCGTAATCGTTTCGGAGCGGCCATATGCGTTGGTAGCAATGCTGTTTATCGTCGTGAGGCTCTGGTGGAGGTTGGAGGGACCGCTGAGATTGGATTCTCCGAAGATGTGCATACAGGATTTTATGCCGTTACAAGAGGTTGGAAGGTCAGATACCTGCCGCTCTGCCTGGCATGCGGCATCTGTCCCGACACACCAAGGGCTTTCTTCAGCCAGCAGATGAGGTGGTGTATGGTAAGAGTCTTGTGACATTCTCCATGAACTGCACTGACCGCGTGCGCTGCAGGGCTCCACGACTCTGCTCACCAACATGGACTTCTGGCGGTCTGACTTGTCCTGGATCCAGAAGATATGCTATCTGTCCGGAATGATGTATTACTCGGCCATCTCGTTATCGATCTTCATCAATCCGCTTCCCGGTGTCTTGATGTTGTGGATCCGACCAGAGTACGTCCGGTACTACAATCTTGCATTCGCCGTCCCGTCCATCTTGTACTCAATCATCGCGATTCGGTGCTGGGCCAAGGCTTCGTACGGGCTCAATGTCCAGTTCATCATGGTGATTCAGTCGTATGCATATCTCACTGCGATCAAAGACAGACTGTTCGGTCGAGCCTTGGCGTGGGTCCCAAGTGGCGACACCAAAGTATGTGCATATTAACAGAACGCGATACTCGTCATGCTGATCTTTGTCAGGCGCACAAGAATAACAAATACCGCAACATGCGGATACTGGCTTGGTGTTGGACGATTACAATCATTGGACTGGTGACATCAGGTTCCGTCTACCAGTGTTTWCGGGGATTGCCGTGGTACGACTGTATCCCATTGATCGTCCTCGATTGCTTCAACTTGTTCCTCGCCCATAGGTTCCTTCTCTGGAGTGGTAAGATCTGAGTTGCAACTTCGATGGTGGGGCTTGTACGTGCAGATAATCCTTGGTACTCGGTAATGCTATTGAGTCTGGTGCCCTGGTGAAGCCCATTGGGTTATGAGATGGATGGGGAAAATGGCGAGGGACCAGTAATTCATCAGAAATCTCCTTCTGCGCGTTGCCTGTCCAATGTCTCGTGACTCTGTAGATCGAAGGGCGCTGTGTAATGGCGGCGCTGATGAGACTGACTGGGTGGCCAAGAGGATTCGAGGAGGCACTCCTCCGTATATTTGCTTCACAGGCGCTCCTGTGTCACGCCTGTGCYACGTGAACAGTATTTCGACTGACCACGTCCGGGCCACCGACGCGTCTGTCTCCTCCGGAGTTGAGTCCGGTCAACTCTTTCGCCGATGGAATGAATAACCGGCCATTGCCTCGGCACCGGCCAAGACCTCACTTGTGTTGCGAGGCTTCTCCTCTCCTGTTCGCTATACGGGTACGATTCTGACGGCTACAAGTCCAAAGACTTACCGACATCTATGTGTCGTCGCCTGCTTAATGACCCGCTTCGCAATCCCACACAGAACGGGCATGACGGACGCTGACAGCCGCTGATCATCAAAGCTATTGTATAACCATCGCTCTTGCTTGTGTTTGAGGTTCCATTCTCTATTCCCTCCCGTCTCACCACCACTTTCTTGTAAAATCAAGATGGCACCTCTCACAACTATCCTGACGACCCTCCTGGGCGTTGAGCACCCCATCATGTTAGCGGGAATGGATCAAGTAGCTGGTCCTAAACTGGCGGCTGCTGTGACTGCTGCTGGTGGTTTCGGAACTGTTGGAGGAGCCCGTTATACGCCCAAAATGCTCAGAGACATGCTCGGCGAATTGAAAGAAGAGTTGAAGGCGAGAGGCTGCGAGAACGCACCGTTCGGCGTCGATTTATTGCTACCTCAGGTCGGTGGCAATGCTCGGAAAACCAACGTGAGTATTGCTATTTTGCCTAAGGTACACTCTTCAGGGGCGGCTTGCTGACGAGATCTTCCAGTATGACTACACCCACGGCACACTTGGAGAGCTCATTGATATTGTCATCGAATATGGCGCCACTCTTTTCGTCTCAGCCGTCGGAGTCCCCGAGCCCTGGGTAATCGAGAAGCTCCACAAGGCCAACATCCTAGTCATGAACATGGTTGGACATCCAAAGCACGTTCACAAGGCGTGTCAGGCAGGTGTCGATTTGATCTGCTGTCAAGGTGGCGAGGCCGGAGGCCACACGGGAGATATCCCAAGCATGGTCCTCACCCCAGCATGCGCCAACATCTGTGCGCAGTACACATCCCCGTTGACCAAGAAGCCCGTGACACTTGTCGCGGCAGGCGGGATCAACGATGGAAGAAGTGTGGCCGCAGCACTCATGCTTGGGGCGTCTGGTGTCTGGGTCGGAACTCGTTTCATTCCGTCCGTGGAATCCAAAGCTCCTGATGTGTTCAAAAAGCAGGTCATAGCTGCTGGGTACGACGATTGGGTCAAATTGACAGTCTGGTCCGGAAGGCCACTACGAGCCTTGAGGACTCCTTACTTGACGGACTGGGAGCTGAATCGACAAGCTGAGATCAAGGATCTGACGTCAAGAGGTATAGTGCCTCTGGTGCACGAGTTGGACAAGTTACACGAGTCCGGAAAGCTGACCGATGAGATCGAGGACGGTGCGGCCATGAGACCGGCCGGCATCGTGGCTGGTGCTGTGAATAGGGCCGGCCAGACTGCAGCGGAGATTGTGAAAGAAATGGTGGAAGAGGCGAGCAGTACTCTTGACCAGGCGAAACGGATTACGCAAGGCTCGAAGCYGTAGAGCATTTGTACTGTACCATGCGGCCGGCCCTGTTCGAGTGCCGCGGAGAGACTGTTGTGTTTGGAGCCACTTCTCATGGAAATTGCAACTTCTCCTGGCTGTGGGGAAGCGTGTATTATTCATTAGCGAATCATGATCAGCCGGTACGGAACATTGAACTCCCTATTAATTGTGGACCTGATGCTCACCCGCGCGAGATGAAGCCGTACAGGTCTCATGCATCCACCATTCCATACAATGTTATCATACGCGAGACAGGTGTGAAGGTTAGTTACGGGTACCTGAGTGGCCCCGACTACGGTAGTGTTTTAGCCACAGGGCTACAACAATTCTATTCTTAGTGTAGCACTACGCCGGCGGTCTAAAGCGTCTAACGGCGCGTTAGACTACCGGTTTAATATGTAATTGCGTTATGTCTCGCATTGTACGGACGCTTATAATACCGTATAAAGGTTATACTAGATAGAGTAGATAATACGGAATTTATATATATATATATATAGCGCTCGTACGATATCTATACTTATAACTAGCGCTATAGTAGGAGTATAACCTCTTTAAACCTACTATATTACGCCGTATAAAGATAAGTAACTTAGGAGGGTAGCTTTTACTATATAAATCTATATAAGTCTATACGTGTCTTATAGTTAGTACTAATAGCTGCATTTTTACGCTACTCGATGCGTTTAGATTATTATTATAAGGAATATAAGATACGCCGGTATAAAACGAATACGAAGGCTAGCTATCTTTATATACTATATACTCGAAGTTCCGTTAAGGGAACTTCGTATAACTAATAAACTACTAACGCCGAGAAATAGTAACCCTATATCTACTTATTATATCTACTATCTTTACCGGCGTTTCGACCGATTACGCGTACGATCTACTAGTAGTATACTCGAGGGCTTAGAGTATATAGACAGCTAAGATAAGGTACGCTTATAGCTACTACCCTTATACGGAGGGGTATACGACCGCTCTCCGCCTTAGCTATCCGATAAGCCCTTTATATTTTATTAGTATTATACGGTAGAGTCTACGTGTATAAAGGTACTTACCCTTATATTATCCTACTCTAGCCTTTTAAGAAAGGACTCTTTCTATTAAAGTTAGAGGACTTTCTTAGTAACCTCCGTTTTAATCTTAGGTTCGACCTTAACCTATTATACTATTAGCTCTAACTTATATTATATAGATAGTCGGACGAACCTTAATATTAGAGAGGAACAGCTAGTTATCGCCCTCCTCGGTCGTAAGAGTACTTACTTCGTCTCTATCGTTAAAGTCGCTAGACACCTATACGAGTTAATATCCGTAACTAACGTATATTATACTAATTATACGTACCGTACTCTCCCTTCTTTTCCGTACTACCTATTATACGGCCATTCTCTTCTTCCGATCCTTCTCCTTCGTCGTACGGGCTACCGCCGCCTTCTTATCTATTATAGCCTTTGCCTTTATAACCTTAGTATCTGCTACCGCGGCGGCCGTAATATATAATATAGAGTTATCCTTATCGTATTAGCCTAGCCTCTTAAAGACAAGGAACACCTAGTAGTTTTCTTCGTAACCTGCCCCTTACTATCGGTTTTACTAGAAAAGATACGAGCGAGCCTTAAATTAACGAAGTCTTTAAACGCCGGCTTAGTAGGGCTATTACGCTTATTATACTACTCGGTAATATATATAAGGGTGTTCTTAGGATAGTCGATCTTTACCGCGAACTCTAGTACCTACGCGAAAAGTCGTATAGCTTAGTTTATATTAGCAAACTTCGAGTTAGAAAGGGTAAGGTTTCGAGGTTATCCTTCTAAGGGTTAGCTACTATACGGTAAAACGCGACGAAGGGTATATACTCTATCGTGTAAAAACGTACCCTTCTTTTAATTCGTATACTTTAGTATCTTATCCGGATCGTTTAGTAATATAACAAACCTTATAATAACGATAGTAACGGTTAGGCGTATTTATATAAAGGAGCCTAAGAGCTTCCCTATAGGCTCCTTAGACCGTATACTAATTAGTATGTCGCTAGCGTAGTACTCTATCTTTAGCGGATACTTAAGGTCGTTAGTATTAATCTTTTGCTATCGCTCTTTTAACGAGTTCGTCCCTCCTAGACGTGCTTTATATAGGAGGTCCCCGTAGTTAAGGCCCGTAGGAACTAGTTCGTTATTTAAGGTCTCTATATTAGAGGTAATAACTATAGGCTTAACGCTAGTAGGAAGGCTCTAACGGAGCTAACGTACTAGAAGCTATATCGCCCGCCGTATAATAGGCTTCGATCTACTTATAACTAGCGGTATTAGATTATAGAGCTCGTAGAAAGGGCACTTAACATCGTCGCGAAGTGTAACGCTATAGTTAAAACCGTTATGAGTATCGCATATTCGAGGCTAGAACTTCTTTGTTTGCCGTTTAGTAACTATTATCTTACCGTATAAAGGGGTTCGTTCGTATTAGGAGTTATAGAAGTAGTAATAAAGTATTATAGGTAGAAAGGACGGAGGAAAGTAGGAATCGGTATATTAGCGGCGTAAGGTAATACTATAGCGAGACTCTAAGCTATATAAATTATACCGCTTAATCGTACGATTATTATAGGGTTATTATAGAGATTATACCTAACGGCGCTATGCCTATAAAGAAGTAGCTCCGAGTCCTAACCGAGGGATAGATTAGTATAATTACCTTACTACTAATAGCTCGAACGCTTAACACCTCCGCGGAGTAGCTTAGTATAGATATAGGGCCTATAAAAAGCAGCTTCTGTTCGAACTTTACATAGACTATCGAATCTTCTTTACTTATTTTTACGCTACTACTAAGTGTCTACGTTAATCGATCGTCTTTTAGCCTATAAGTAAGGACTGTATTAAGAGCCTATAGTCCTATCTATTTACTCGGCGAGGTATAGCAAATTATTTCCCCTCGTCTAAGCAATATACGATGTACGACTTCCTTAGTTGTTATTATATGTTATAGTTTACGCCCTTTATTAGAGCCGAAGGTAGGGCTACACTTTATTTTTTCCTACCGAAGGGACGATAATAATATAGCCTCTAGGTACGGATAGCTACGACTAGCGGAAGGCGACAACTACCTACGGCCTACGACTATAGTATGTCTCTAGAGGATAAGAAGGACAGTAACTACTTTTAGGTAGGTATAGCTTTAACTATAAAAAGTTATAAACCCTTAGGCTATTAGGACTTAGAGTTATATATAGCGTAAGCATAACATAACTACTATCTAAGAACTTAGGCTAGGTAACCGATCCTAGCTATAGCTATAATCGGGAACATATCCTTCTTATCTAGCGTCCGGAGACAGGCCTAGCTTAAGGAGAGCGAAGCGGTGCTAGATTCTAAGGGGAGCTTAATCGTAAGGACATATATATGTTAAAGGTAGTATATATGTCTAGCCTAGCACCGCATTTTAGCGGAAGCATCTTAATTGCTAGAGACTTAATACACTCGAGCTAATATAACAGGAGGCATCCTATACTATTACGTATATTAAAGTAGTAGCTTTAATATATAAGGGGTAGATCTATGTAGAAAGGATCTATAGTAATTCACTCCGAGAAACATCTATCTATCTATTAAAAACGTTAAGGGCAATATTAGTAGTTTAGTACTAAGTTAAACTGGGGTTTACTTAGGCTCCTCTTTCGGGAAGGGCTCGATTAAGGTAAGCTTTACGAAGGTCGATAAAGGGGTAGGCGATTAAAGCATCGTAATAGGAAAGTCGGTACGGATCGGTTCTATATTATAAGGTCTAGAAGGTTAGCCCTTAGACATAGAAGGAAAAATAGCTAAACTTCCTATATAGCGGCGACTATAGATGTCCGAAAAATACGGAACTAACTATCCCTTTCTACGGAGAGAGTAGGGCTAAGTGCTAGGCACTATACCCGGAACATTTTAGAGCTAGATCCCTACTTTTCCTCCCTAGAGCAAAGGTAGTAAGGTTGCTAAGCTCTCTTAAGCTCTAGTATAGGCAATGTATTACTTCCTAATATGCATTCTAAATATGTAGAAAAACACTAAGAACCTACCGGCTATTACTTCTAGATTACTATCGCTTTTTTAAATTTTGCAAATCTAATACTAACCGACTAATTAAAAACAACTAGCTACTAGGGGCTAGTTACTAAAAACATCATTTTCGTATCTATATAAGTATTTAATAACCCCCTCCGGAATCTAAATCCTCTAAGGAATAAGAGCTCTATATTACGGAATGTCTCCGCGGGGTCTCCCGTAGCAACATTCCCGTATAGGAATGTCTATAGGTAACGACTAGTGTAGGAGAGCCTATATAGCTAACATGTTTTAGTTATACGTAATAATAGGGCAAAGCGGAAAGAATAGGATCGCTCGGAGAGCGACCCGATTATATAATTATCCTAATTAGAGAAGCACGGACCTCCGAACTTCTAATTAGAATAAACACACTAAGCACGTTAAGCAAATCGATTAGTTCTAATTAACATGCTTAATATAATTATTATAATTATTCTTATAGTTAGTATATATAGAAGCGATATAATCCCCTATAGAGAATATCGCGTACAACTTACTATTTTATCTTACTAATTAGAATTGTGCATCCTACTTTACTTTACTTTAYAGACTTCCTATAAGCTCTAACCCGATCCCGCCTAGCTTAGCCTTATAGCTTAGCTTAGTAAGATTATCGAGATTTTATATCTTAATAGCTTTATACGCCCTTAAGGATGTCTAACTAACGAAGCGTTCGGGGAATACCCGCCCCTAGCGAAGTAGGAACTACCCGGTCCGACCGAACCTAGCGAACTAGCAACGGCACTATTAATGCGTTAGCTAATTAGATTAGCAACGACTCCCTTAAGGTTAGGAAACCCGAGTTCTATTATAGAGAACGTAATAAGTTCGACCTTTAGGTCGTTTAGTTAGACATGTACTTTATATTTAACCCTATAACGGACAGCTTAAAACCTATCT